GTATGTATGTATGTATGTATAGTTTTGTTCGTTTGTATGTGTGTATGCATGTATGCAAGTATGGCGGTATGTATGTATGAAACTATCTATGTATGTACATACAGATATACACATAATGTATTCTGTATATGTGTGTGTATATATATATGTATATATCTATACATATGTAGCTCAGCTAGTATATGCTCATCTGTCTAGGCTCGACTTTATACACTTTGTTTCAACTATCACGTGTTATGTGCATCCATGCCTATGTACATGTCTTATTGTGGATTCGATGTCCAAGTGTTCGGGAATCTTCGCGAGATCGTGCGACGCAAGATGCTCCGGTGCTTGTCTCTCGAGGCTTGTACGTGGGCGGCCTCACAGACTCTTTGGCGAATATTTCCGAGGAGGAGCTTAAGAAGCTGTTCTCGCCGTTTGGCCACTGGGATGTACCAGTTTACGGGGGTGAGTGTGGACAAGTAGAGGGGCTTCCGCATCTAACATGTTCCGAGTGGCAAGAGGTCTGCAGGAATCAGAACAAAGGTTTCGCAAGCCGGCAGAAGGGGATGTTGGGCACAATTTCAACTCTGGGCCTGAGTGCTGAGGTGAGATTGAGTTCATTGATCTGCACAGGGATCCTTACACGAACAAGTGCAAGGCCGGTGCTGTAGCGAAGTGGGCCTCGCCCACAGTTCTTGAGTTCCTTTGACGCTATCGGCCGGCGCAGGGCTTCGCGTTCGTGCAGTTCAAGAACGCTTCAGAGGCGCGCGAGGCGATGACGGCCATGAACGGCTTCCAGCTGGCAGGCAGGAGGTTGGTGTGTTAGACTGTCCCGTTGCTCCTCGAGAAGTCGCAGGCAAGGAGCTGAAGGTGGGTATTGCGCGAGGCTCAGGCGATCTCAGGCGGCAAGCGTCGCAGGCTTTTCAAGGGAGTTGGAAAGTGCAAAGACTTTCCCTGGGCCCAGGCAACGAGCGACATGCAGCTTGGTGAGGCTGGTGGCGCAAACAATCTGGCAATCGGTGGTGAGAATCTTCACGAGGACTCCCGTCGTGGGGTGATCGGAAGCCTTGCGTGTTCGCTGCTGATACAAAGAGCCGTCTCACTGGAACCTTTGCTTCAGGATGCCAGTGCGATGGGCCCGAACGCCAGCCAGCTCGCACCTGAGAGCACCTTAATGGATTCCACAATCACGGTGTGTAGGTGTGTGCAAACGCACCCATGGAACGTCTTGCTTTCTTATTGCGAGAACCTGCAGCAGGCCCGGCATGCTGAAGGATGCAAACGACCGGCTGGCGCTCATGCAGAAGCTGCAGCGCGACACTATTCCAGGCCAGAGGCAATTGCCAACGGCATTCCACACGATAACTGAGTGGCAGCGTTCCAAGTTCTTCCCCCAAACTTCAAGGTTACGGTGGACCCGGCGTGCCATCGAACATTATTGCATCGGCCTCGGAAGCTGTCCTAGGTATTTCGTTTGGTGTGTCGGCTTGCCGCAGCTACCCGTCCTTTCACTTTTACCACCTGCTTCGACAGAATCTTCTCCTGGGCCCGTAGCCACAAGTGTGAGTGTGCCAAGCTGAGCAGCGCTGTGGCGTTCAGACTTAGCATTAGTCGTAAATCTACATGTTAATGTGTGACCCCGTCGAAGCTGAAGTGTGAAGATTTGCTCCCCCCCCCCCCCCTCGATGGTAGTATACATTGGTGCTTCGGACTCTGTGGCCAAGTCGTTGGCGAGAAGGTCTGCAGTGCTTCGGGGGACTTTGGCCTGCCTTTGTCTCTACGCCGGGACTAACTTTGTGGCCGTACGCCCCAGCAAGCCGCGCGTTGGCTCTGTGATCCGTGCCCAACCGAAGAACTCTCTGGCAGATGTGGGCAATGAGGCTTTTGAGGAGTTTGTGGACTTCTTGAAAGGGCAGCAAACTTCCATCATCAAGCAGCTTGAGGAGGCGGAGAGCACATCGAACGCCACATTCAGCTGTGACCCTTGGGGATCCTTCGCTGGGCAGGACATTAGCAGCGGAGGTATAACGCGTGTTCTGCAAGATGGAGGCATCATTGAGAAGGGCGCATGCAGCTTCACATGTATTCAAAAAGGAGTTTTGTCAGAAGAACGGGCAAAAACCATTCGCACACGTCAGGAGGATGTGCTTGCACAGGCAGGGGACGAGTATTCCGCAGCAGCGTTAAGTATGGTACTTCACACCAGAAGCCCGCTGATCCCCACCTTCCGCTCCGATGTGCGAATCTTTTCTGTCAAATCGTCCGATGGCAGCACTACTGCATGGTTTGGTGGAGGAGCAGACTTGACTCCATATTATCTGGGAGATGAATCCGACATCCAGTCCTTCCATCAGATGTACCATGATTTATGCTCAAACACACTGACAGCGCATCCGTCTTACACCTATGAGTCCATGAAGCAAGCCTGCGACAAATATTTCTATCTGCCCGCACGGCAGGAGCACCGCGGCACAGGCGGCATTTTTTTCGACGACCTGCCTGTGGACCAAGAAGCAATGGATTTCGTGCAAGGTGTGGTGGAAACATGGATGCCTTCCTGGCTGCCCATCGTCGAGCGCCATCGCAATGCAAAGTACACGGAGCGACAGAGACACTGGCAGCTCCTCCGACGCGGCCGCTACCTGGAGTTCAATCTGCTTTACGACCGCGGTGTTAAATTCGGGCTTGCAAATGCTAACCCACGCGTGGAGGGAGTTATGGTGTCAGCACCGCCCCTCATCGCTTATGAGTATAACCACGAGATTGAAGAAGGCAGTCCGGAGGCAAAGATACTTCAAGTTTTGCGAACTCCACGAGAGTGGATCCCAACAGCGGATCGAGAGCAAGCTCCGCCTGCTTGATGCCCGCAGCAAAAGCTTCCCAGGGCTGGAACGAAGTTAGATTCAAGCTTGAGCTACCAAGCGGGAACATTAAATAGATTCGGGCACTTATGAGACGAGTTCTGAAGCTGTATTCGCAGCAAGTCCCGGTGTCGCACTTTAGCAGTGGTGCTGTAGCAGATCAGACGGGCCCCAGGTGTCTTGTTGAAACCTTGGGTAGACCCGAAAGACCCAGTTCTGGGTGTTGCCCTTGAGGTCGCACCGGCATACCAGAGTGCAGCAGCAACGAAGTGTCCCTGCTTAGGTGCTGCACGGCATGTTCAACCCGTCGCAAGTCAACTTGGCAGCCGATCCAGAGTTCTTCAACGACATCCATGCAGATGTTGAGCAGGACCAAGCTGCAACCTCTCTTGCTGCTTCTGCGACGACTAGCAGACTTACCGCTGCTGCGACGCTGCCACTGCTTACTGCAGCTGTTAATACTACTGCGCATTTAAGCACGAACAGCAGCTAGTTGTATTTGACAGCATTGGTTCCTGTCGTGAATGCGATAACATGGTTTTTGAATGACAATGCCGGCTGACACTAGTCATAGGAGCTTGGGCCATAGCAGCCATAGCAGTTTCAGCAGCAGCATTAACAAACACAGTCGTCATGATCGTGGTGGTGGTGTTGGTCGTTGGCTTCTTGTCCTGGTCCTAAGCTGTCCTTTGCCTCCGGCTCTCCTGCTGCCCCTCCGCCTCCTGCCAGGAGTGCCGAAAGTATGGCTCTGTCGTGAAGGTTTTTGCCGACCAGGGCAGCAGCAAGGGCGATGCTCCTTCGCTGAATCCGAGTTAGCACATGCAGGCGAGACCTGCACGGTCCTTACGCGTTCAAGGTCTGGGTCAAGTTCACCGACGCAACCTCCGCCTCGAACTGCCAGCGTGCACTCGACAGGTCGCGCAGTGGCAGAAACTCCATGCAGTGCATGCGTGATGCTCAGAAGTCTTCTTCACCTCTGTGGCTAAGCGAGGCGTTGGTTCGCTGGGCAGCAAATTATCGCGGAATTCAGCACCGAAGCTGCGAGTGCCTCAGCCAACGGCAAGCCAAGGGCATGTCATGCGGGCATGTTCGCCGGGGGCTCGCTCGTGCGCCGCTAGTGCTGAGCTGATTGGAGGCCTGGGCAGGCGTTGTGCGGTGAAGGCGCGGCCCTAGGCAAGCCGCAGAGATGTTAGCAATTGAACATTGCTTAGACGCATCAGGTCTTGCCGGCGAGCGACAATGAGCGAGTGGTGTTTTGCTGCCAAGATGGGCTCAGCTCAGCTTTCCTGTGCGGATGTATTAGCTCACAGGCTTCCCCTGCAGCCCTATCCCAGAACTGGTGCTCGTGCATGGAACGCGTGTTGGGTTATGGTTCCGTCCGCTGGGAGCGCACATGCATGATTGTGCGCATTAGAGGAGCTTTCGCGCTCAGGGTCTGGGCCCGTGCTTTCAGAAGAGGGCTACCGTCGAAAAAGACAGCCTGCCGTTTCTGTTCCGTCGTGGGCAGACACACTGGTTTCCAAGCGGGCTCAGGGCCTTCGAATCCGGACTTCAAGAAGTCCTTTGGCCCTAGAGAGCGGTGCCTCTGATACTGGAGGCAAGCAAAAGAAAGGCTGGAAGATGTTAGGCAAAGTCAACAGAACGTGAAGCACTTTACTTTACTGCATGCGCCAATGCCTCCCCACAAGGCCGTCCAAACTGAGCTTGATAGACCTGAGAAAGCTTGGAAAAGAGACTTAGCCCAGCTATCGCTGCTTGCTGCTGTGCAAAGAGCTGCGGAATCTCTGACAGGTTGCGTGTCGATGTACAGGCCGTGATTCCGTACCACGGAGCATTATCAGGCCCAAAGTGGCCACACCTTTTGCGAGGCATCCTTTCAAGGTCAGGACATGGTAGGACGCCTCTTTTTCTCTTCTCACTGACGGGCCTCCTTTAGACTTTCTCCGACTAGACTCTCACTGATGCGCCCTGCTGCCATGGTCGTGTTCGGTTTGCGCACGCGCTGCCCTGGTGCAGGCTTGGCGGTCGCGGTTTGTGCTGTGCTTCGGTTGTGACGCATCAGGCAAGCTCTTTGGATGGAGGGCGAGGAGTTCCTCTGCAAGGTTGGGTCTTGGGCGGCCTAAGTTTAGGGCGGGTAAGGGCTGCTTTGTCTGTAGCTTCTTCCTGCCGGCGAGGGGCAGGACTACAGAGCGCGTCACCACCTGAGCCGCGGAGCGCTTTTGTGGATCCTGGGAACAGACAGGGTGTGCCAAGTTTCCTGGACCAAGGCCGCTCTCTCCGACAAGGTATTTTCTCAAGCGAGGCTGACCATGACGCTCCAACTTTCCGGATGCGTGGTGCTCACACGGCCAGGCTTTGCTGCTGCGTGGCTCGGACCGACTCGTGGCGAGGCGGGAGCAGAGCAAAGAAGCCTGTTTGAAAGCCACCGGTTGTGTGCCACCCCGGCGCTCCAAAAGAGGCCCGAGCTGCTGGCGGATGAGGCGACAAAGGCCCGCCCCCCCCAGCACGGTCTCTCTCCGTTTTCCCGGCTCTGAGAGGCGCTGGCGTCCTTTGGCGGCCAGCAGCTTTGGGAGGCAGTCGCTACTCCGCCACTCCGCTGGAGGGGTGATGTGGGGGGTGTCCGTCCAGGAAGCCTTGCAATTGGTCCGCGGACTGCGAGATGCCCAAACTCAACTGAGTGGGGACTGCTACGAGGTCCTCAGTGTGCAAGTCTCACGCCGATGTCCTCGTGGAACTGTGGAACTCCAGGCGCTGCAGCACGCGGTTCAGCGATCATGGCCGCAGGCGGCCTGGCACAGTGAGGGAGAGACATGAGTTCAGTGTGAGAGGGTCACCGAAGCAGGCATCTCTCTAGGGAGGGATACCCCGCCCCGATCCACATAGGGACAGTGGTGCGGTACTGACACGTAATCCTGCAGGATAGCAGGACTCAGCGTGCGGAGTTTCGGGGCAAAGGAACAAGTGCGCGAGAGCACCTGCCTGCAAAAAGGGGAGCAAGCAAGAAAGACTGTAGTGCTGGGCCGGACCTGTTTAGCAGCATGTTGTATATCCCTGTTGCATTGCAGTGCCTCTCGCTTCTCCGTCAACGAGCTTGCTGGGGCATCCCCGAATCGACGAAAACGATCCTGCTAGCGAGCACGGCTCTGAGGACTGGCTTTGTCAGCGGCTCTGTGCCTGAGAGCCTGAAGCCAGTGAAAAGTCCAAACCCCTCCGTTGGCGAGAACGGACCCAGTGCTTTGTGCAGGAATGGTCGGCTGGACAGCTGGACATGGTCCCTCCGCTTGCTGGGCATGGCCCGCGAGCAGAAGAATCTGGACAGGGACAGCAAAACGAACTCAGGGAGGCAGATTGTGTCATCTGGTCCCGCAGACTGATATTAACGATGTTGAAACATGTGCCCAGAATTTGGTGTCGTGCAGAAGCAAAGCCGACAATCGGCCAGTGCTGGCGACCGGAGACAGGCCCTGGAACACGAAGCCTGCGTATCGTGCTTGGTCCTTTTATTGGGTCCGCGCCTAAGTTTCGAAAGATGAGAGTGCCAGAGCAGCAGAAGGAGCTGCTTGTAGCGAAGTCAAGTCTCATCGCCATGCGTTTCAATGCTGCGTGTGCAACAAGTCCGATCACTCAAAATTCCACTAGCACAAAGCAATAGCATCCACAGCAGCAACAACAGATGTGTCTCAGAAGCGGCTGCGGAAGCAGCAGGCTACAGCAGCAGTGGGAGGCATCGGGGCAGAGTTCGATCCTAGCATGCTCGATTCGCACTTGCAGTGGCGATGCTCAGGGAGCGTGTGCCAATACCTTCCAAGAACTTGCGGCTGCAGGCCACTCCTTTCCTTTACATGCCTTCACTTGGCTACAGTTGCTACACTATAATTATAATGCGTATTCCATGATGTTTGCCCGCGCAGTGCTGAGATCTTTTCAGTTGTAGCATTGTTCCCGGAAGGCAATTGGAGGTGGGCCATCCATCTTCTAGGCGAGTTCCTCCGGGACTCACCACCTTGGGAGCGGGGACCCCAGCCTGTTCTTCGGAGCACACCCAAGTTCGCTTCTCAGTCCGTCCTCGTCATATGTATCATCGACAGCATCGTCAGCATCATCCTCATCGTCAATCAGTCTTAGCACCATCATGACCTTGATCATCCTCCCATCATCATCGTTATCGCGCAGTCGTCATCACCATCGTCGTCACAGCGATGATTTGTTTTATCGTCCTTATTGTCATCCTCATCGCCATCGTGATTTGTCAACATCAGCGTCGTACATGAAATCCTCTGCAACAGGCGCGGTTTGAGCACTGGCCAAGATGCGAGCGCTGTGATTCAAGCACCAGCGATTCCAGCCTGCCACCGGTTCGAGCACAGCCGTTTCAAGAACTAAACCAGATTCTTCCTCGTGCCATTCGAGCACGCGAGATTCAAGCACCCACTGTTCAAGCACCATCCGATTCAAGTAGTCGACGGTTGAGCTGAGGGTTGCATGTTTCCGGGTTAGGTCGGGTATAGGATTTTGGGATTTACTGTAGGGTTCAGGGTATCACCGAGCAAGGAGGGTCAAGTGTTTGGAGGGTCAGGAATCATCATCGTCATCACCCTCATCCCATCATCCTCATCACCTGATCATCCTCGTCATGCTCATCATCCTCGGCCTCACCTTCATCGTTCTTGTCGTCTTCATCACCCTCATTATCCTCGTTTGTTTTTTTTCGTCGTCATTGTTGTCATCAGCATTTCTGTCGGTCTGGTGGTCGCTGTCCTCCTCCTCCTCCTCCTCATCATAATCATCACCAGCATCATCATCATCATCATCATCATCACCAGCATCATCATCATCATCACCATCATCATCACCATCATGTCATCATGCCGTCATGTCATCATGTCACCATGTCATCATATCATATCATATCATATCATATCATATCATATCATATCATATCATCATCATCACCAGCATCATCATCACCACCACCATCATCATCATCACCACCACCATCATCGTCATCATCATGAGCACAAGCGTCGGCATCAGCATCCGCATCAGCATCAGCATCAGCATCAGCACCAGCACCAGCATCAGCATCATCATCATCATCGCCAGCATCATCAGTGGCAGGAGAAACACTTGCTCCCGCTGAAGGTCGGAGGAGTTCTTCCGCATGAGGGAGAACTTGCTGGACTTGGTCGTGATGTCCTGTGGAGCGGCAGGCAGGCGAAGCAGTGGCACTTCCAGACCCGAAGGCTCCATTTTGATGTTCAGCGCGTCTTGTGCAGGGCGGTGGAGAATGGCCTTGAGCATCTTCAGCAACATGAGGTTCGTCCAGGTGGGGTGTAGTCCCGTGTTTTGTGTGGTTGTTCAAGAGAGCGCAGCGGTTGCGGACTCAGCGCCTGTCAGGTGGTTCCTGGGCAGCTGGCCTATCAACACGTTGTGATCGCCTGTAGAGAGGCACAGGGCCTCACAGGGCGCTCGCAACATACCGAAAGAACGCCTCTTCGCGTCAGGCGGGGGCCTTCACGATCGCCGATCAGCTCTGCGAGGAGATGCGCATCTGCACCGGACATGTCGAGATCGCTCCCCAGGAAGGACAGCAGAGTTGAAGGTTGGGAGCAATCTTGTAGCCTCGGCTTCGGGACGATCCTTGCTTCATGGAGTGCTGGAAGCAGCCGGGTACATCTCAATCAGAGCCTCGTTGAGGCACGGCTTGTCCATCAGTCCGGGCTTGGAGAAAAGCTACCTACGCAAGTGCGAAGAGGCATCTGGGCAAAAGAGTTTCCAAGAACTCAGCATGCTGCCAAATCCTGAACCGCTGAGCCTTCTCATTCTCGTTCTGAGGTGGGCGATTGGCAAAGGGCACTGCAAGTGCCAGGTCCTCGACGAAGATGCCGCCACATGCTATTCAGCGGCCAGTTCTAGTAAAGAGCTGTGGAGAGGATGGCCCTGCCGAGGTTGGGCGAGATGCAGTGGTGTGCGAAGGTCAATGTCCAGCCCACTGCGCATTCTACAAAGTCCACACCCTCCCCGTGTGAGGAGATGGACGAGATCGCATGCGGCACCGCGGCTGCTGCAATGCGCTCGGCTTCTCTGAAGGAAGCCCACTTCTCTGCTCTCCTAGAGCTCCGAGGCCTGTGCAAATGGGGCAGCTTGGGAGGCAGCTCTCGCGCTGCAGAGCACGGAAGCTCAGTTCAGCTCAAGCACTCATTGTCTCTCACGATATCTTGTGCATTAGTGGGGGTCGGAGCCGGACGACATATCATAAACACATGTCTGCCAGAACTTCCCGGTCCCGAGCAGCCCTCTCATCTGCAGGCACTTGGCTCCAATCTTCAGTTTCTGCGTCGAGCCATGCTGGCCAGTGGCCACAGGCATAGAAGGGAGCCCCCGATGCATCGCAATGGCCTCGCGGCTATTTCGCGCACGGCTGCGGCTGCTGGAAGCCAAGGCAGCGCAGCGCGGAATTTCCATAAGATAATGCCACCTCTGTCTGCCGTCAATTTTTCTTTGTCGCTTGCAGGCGCAGCGGGGTCGGGGCATTGCACGGAATGCGCAGCACCTTAGCTGAATTCACCCAGTATCGTCGTTTCAGCGACTAGCGCAGACCAGATTGTTGCTGGATTTGCCCCCTAGAGCCAAGGATTCATGCAGTGCAAGCACTAAGTCGACGAAACTGCTGGGACGAGGCTCTGCAGCTCGGCCGGAAAGTCTGAGAACCAGGTTGGAAGAGTGGGATCTAAGAGATCCAATGGCTGAGTCAATTTGTGTCCTGGAGTTGGTAATGCGTTCTCTGAGTTGCAGTCCCGAGCCTGCCTAAGGCATGTGGTGGAAGGCCTTGTAGGACACGCTGCCGCTCGGGTCCCGCGGGTGCGGATCTCGGTGAAGCTTTCTCCCAATGACTATCCAAGGGTGTGTGTGTCTGTGTGTGTGTGTGTGTGTCAAGGAGCCACTTGTCATGCTGGGGCTCAGCCTTGCCAACGAGTCCCGGCAGTGGGAACGTGCTCTGCATTTACAGGCGCTTCCCTTCCAGCGGTCTGTCTTGGCCTTGGCCTCTTGCCTGCAGGACCTGACCAACCGACACCACGGCGGAGGAGGCCAGGAGCGGAGATCTCGAAGCAAAGCTTCGCCCTTCCTGCTTGAGGCTGGGTCTCTGGGCCCCTCGCCGAGCTGCTCGTCGCAGTAGGGCGTTGGAAGCACGCATTGCAGGAGGGGCCCGCACTTCCCAACAGCATTTTTCTTTGGATGGCTGCCTTGCTACTACTGTGATGCCCTTGAACTGGGTGCCAACTTGCTGCCAGGTGACAGCCAACCTGGATCTTCGAGTTCGGGCTGCAGCGGCAGGTCGACTCTGGCAGGACAGCCAAGTGAGCTTTGCATGCTCTGACTTGCCGCTCCCCGAGAATCGTGTGGAGGCAGCTTATCATCTTGTCGGAGGCATCGTGGAAAGCATGCAGCAGCACAGAGTGCCTATGCCTGCATTCAGCGTTGTTAGCTTGTTGTTGATCTTTGTGGCGTCTAGCACCATCATGGACCCTTGTGGAGGTGTCAGGGTCAAGCAGACCCATCCCTGTGTCGAGCCTGACATCCGTGCTGCGGTTGCATCTCAGCTAAAAGCCTACTAGTGGCCAGGAAGTAATTCATGCCATTTGAGATCTGCTGCCGTCCGATCATCTTGCGAGGCGCGACTCTTCAGCAGTTGGGTTGTCGCAGCAGGCCTGTCTCTGAAGTGTATGTTGTTGAGACACGGCCACAACTACAGTAACTACAGGAGCATACGAGCCACACCGCCACTTGTGACGCGATCGACATGTCATTGAGGATTCAGTTTGAATTTTCGCAGTTGCCGCTTGGATTGCTCAACAAGCTTTCGGCAACCAGAAGTCAAGTTCGATCTTGCTGACAAGTCGCTTGAGGAATCAGTTTCGCCTTCAGGCATGCAATTTCGCTCGTAATTGCTTGACTGCTTCACTCGCGTTGCGGCATGTCCCACTTTTTGATAAATGCCCTTGGTTGGTTTTACCGGCCCCATTCTGCACACGTTCACTTCCACTGACGACCAAAACAAGACCATGTCGTGTCAGGCGATGAACATGGCTGTCGATGCAGCGGCACAGAAGCACCGCGCGAGTCTTGGCATGTCAGTTGGATCCGCATGACTTCGCCGCAGTGTGTCGTCTCTCGCAATCGATCAAGACCCAGGCTGGCAGCAGGCGATTCAGCTGCTTGAAGCAGCAAGGCTGCTGCAGAGGTCGGACATCATCACACTCAACACCTGCCTCACGGCTGCTCTACGTACCTCGGTTAAAAACACGAGTCCGAGGAAAGTCCGCTCTCTTAGCGCTTCCCAGGTGCAGAGAGCTGGCAGCAAGCCTTGGCACTGCTTGCAGATGGCCGTAGCCGCTTGCTTTCTTGAATTTCTCTGTCAGGCCTTTCAGAGTTGTCCTGCGTGAAAAGGGCTCAGGTGCCAGGCTGCCGCTGAGCAGCGTGACGCTGGGTGCTGGCCTTGATGCTGCGCAGCGTGGTTCTGCATGGCAGCTGGCACTTGGAATGCTCAGCCAGGACAACCTTGCAATGTTTGAGTTCAGGACTTGCAAATACCCTGATCCCTGACGTCCCAGGAAGGCGGGCTGGCAAATGCCGTCGCCATCAATGCTGCAGCTGGAGCTGCAGCGACAGCTGCGTGTTGGGAGGCAACAATGCACCGGACCGTGACACTTTTTCTTTAGCTTCTGTTTCTGTCACTGGCAGATTGCACTGGGCCTCTTGCAAGATCATCACTTTCACCACAATCGCCTCGGTCTGAGCCGTGATCTACCAGCACGGACTCGGACTTGCAGGCATTACGAGTCATGAAGAAGAAGGGAGTCCAGATTGATGTTGTGCAAGCATGGATGCGTTCTCGTTGCTACCGTGCGAAATTTCCTGGGGGAGGGTGCCGCGACTCCACTAGACCTCAATATCCAAGACTGCGGAGGCATCACCACTATCACAGTATCAGGCACAGCAAGTGTACCCTTGTGCAACCATCTGTCCTTCCAGCCGTTGCCAAGGTCCAGACGTTGTGGCTTGCACCGTTGCCGTGGCATCCTGCAGTGCGGCCTCGCGCTGGGAACAAGCCCTTTCGCTGCTGTCTTGGTGCGCCCAACGGCCGGGTAGAATGCAGGAAGTAGGTGCGGCTTGCCGGGCAGCCTCAAGCTTGCTGCGCAGGTACGGTGCGAGAGGAGTCCAGCCTGACGTGGTGATGCTTCAGCAGATCCAGTGCTCTTGTGATGTCAGGGACCTAGTTGTCTTCCCCAGGTGTTCTGTACCTAATATCGTCTGCCAACTTGTGGAGTCAGTTCTCCGAGTTGTCGGGCAATGGCCCAGGTCGGCATGGTGCCTCTGGATCCCGGACCGATTCCGATTCAGTACAAGACGAACTTACGGAGAGTTTCTTCGAGGTTGGCTCTGGGGGACCATGCCGTGAGACCGAAATTCGAGATTGTGTCAAAGAGTCACGGTCAAGGGTGTGGCGCGCAGGCTCTTATCTGATGGATATGACTGGGCACAGCGCCGCCAGAAGGGGGCGAGTCTGGCAGCTCTTTGGTGAACATTGGTGAGGGTACGTGGTTGTGGGGCATGGCTTGAGCTTCCCCTGCGCAGCATGAGCAAGTACAGTAACAGGGACTCGGCCTCTTTGTCGTTGCTCGTGTTCGCCAACATGCTTAGCAAATGTATGCATCGATCACCATGCAAGTCATTTGCGCCGGCTCCTGTGAGGTGGTGGCAGCCCAAGCTCTGGAGCAGTGGGCGGCCTTGTCCAGCGAGGCGACCGATGGCGAGGTCCCGTGCCTGTCCTGTCCCAAAGCTTGGGAGGACGCCCGCTGCGTGGCCCGTGTCCTCCGGCGCCCAGTCTTGGCCGTGCTGCAGAGGCTGGCGGCATTCTTAGTTTAGGGTCCATTCGGTTTTATGAGGGTGCTAAAGGATTCATTGGGGGGTTGATGGCGGTTGTTGTGGGCTTTCTTATTGGGCATTCCCTGGAATTTTCCGGGTCTATGAGGCGTGAAAATCGGGTTCAGGGCAGCTCCGTCTCAGGCTCCGAGGCGATCCCGGGGCCCAAACCTCAGCGAGGCCCGGCCCAGGAGGTTTAGGGTTTAGGGCCGTTTAGGGTTTAGGGTGGTCTTCGTGGTTCGATGACCGGTAGCGGGAATTCGAAGAGGAAGAGCTGAGATTTGAAGAATCGCACAGCTGATGCTCATGATGCTCTGGTGTGTTGGCCGGGCAAGTGAAGGGCTTGTTAGGCTGAAAGGCTTGCGCAGCTTGTGTTGATGATGTGAGTTCATTGAGGCCTGAATAAGAAAGGGCTGAGTGGCTGTGGCCGATGCTGATGATGCTCTTTTTCGTCGGGCATGGCAAGGGCGGCTGCTGCCGGGAGGGTGGTGCTGAATGGCGAGCACTATCGGTATCAGAAGGCTGCCTGAGACGCCCTTTGCACACGACCAGCTATCAAGAAATCGCTGGGCACTAGCACTTTGGGACGCTGTTCTATCGACAACTTCCAAGCGCACGAAACTCCTGGTGACTCCTAATGATCATTGACTTGCTCTTCAATATCACGAGCGGTCCCTAGTCCTAGTCCTCGCCTGAACTTACCGCCTAATGGACCGCATATGTGCTCCAGGTGAATCCACTGGTAAAATAGGCTCGTTGCCTGCGCGCCTGTAATCGCAAATCCACCTTTGAGGCACTTGCCTCTGCGAGATGTATTCCTTGAGTCGCAGTCTACACTAGGCTCACCGATGACAGCTGAAACCATGCTGGATCTTCATCTTGTTTTCACATCTCCTTCCATGCTGCGATGCGGCGAAAAGGCTTCGATGCAGCCATGCAGTGTCCTGCAGCATCGTGCAGCGAGAATGACGGGTGCAGTGCACTCTCCAAGTCTGAGGCCTCGCCCCCTCGCTCCTGACTGCCAGTCAAACGCTAAGGCGCGCAAGTCTGCGTGGAGAAGTCGAGGATCGAATCCGTGTGTAGCATGTGCCAGGGCTATGCTGCACACCGTCAAGGAGGGTGCTTGGTCCGAGCGCCCTGAACTTAAGGCATTTCCTTCAGAGCCGGGAAGCATGAGAAGCAACTCGAAGAGATTTCTGTGAGGTGAGCTGTGGCGTGCAGCAGTGGCACTCTTCGCCGCCCTTTGTGACAACGGCATCGAACCAACAGTCGAGCAGGTGCCTGCGCCTCAGCGATTCGGGAGCACCAGAATGACAATTTGCCGCTACTGGCACCACGCAAGAAACACTTGCAAACACTCGGCCCCAAATGCGCAGCAAACTTCAAAGCCCAGAATGAAAGCCCGAAGTGAAGTTTCCAAGGAACCTTGCCATCGAGATTTGCAAGGTGTGAGTGTGAATATGCACTCTTCGGGCCCACAGTGGCCTTGGTGTCCGTTCGAGAATCAAAGCTTGCCCCGCGTGACAGGAGGCTCGTGCAATTCGGCCGATGTTCGAGATGTACAAGTCTGCACGGAGGCTACCCAGCTTCCGTCCAGACTATGGGACTTTCGAGGCAATCCAGCACGGAATGCATCATGGCACATATGGGAGACGTGGTCGTTCGAAATGTCGTGACCCAAACGCGTAGGCGTAAGCCCCTTCCAAACAAGCCATGAAACTGAGCAGTGCGTCCCGGAAGCATATACAATATGCCAACTCTGTAGCACTGGCGACAATCACCGGCTCCCATGGCAGAACCTGGCAAGTGGCGGTACGCTGGCACCCGGCCAATACTGGTGGCACTGCCTTCTTTTCATGGAGGAGGCCATCCATGGTTTAGTCACATCGTTTTGTGGCCGTGACTCACCGGAAGAATGGTTTGAGGCCCAAGACCTGCTTCCTCGAAAGCAGCTGACGAGTTCCATGACGAAGACCATCAAGGCGGTCGCTGATCGAACGCCTGCATGTCGCTGTCGACTCGTCCAGTAGTCCTTGCAGTAGATATGTCTCGTGCATTGCCTACAGCATATCCAGAAACTGCCTGACTTCGACCCGAGAAGAATACCGCGGAAGTGGAGGACTCAGAGCGATACTTCGGGTTCCAAGTGACTGTTGCCCTACAGAAGCACGGACTGCGCTCGCCTTCCTGGGCCTTGCCAGGAGTCTTACACTGATACCTAGTGAAGTCTCTAGTGTACCGGGAAGCTATCGGATCCTGCAGCAACACAGAAAGCGTGTGACCACGGTCGCCTTCCCAAGCCAGGGTTTGAACAATTGGGATGTACTCCGTAGGGGTGTCGTAAGAGGAGAGGAGGAACTAGCACGAGAAAGCAAAGAAGTGTGATCGCCGCGATATTGCTTCAGAATGACCATGTTCGTGACCACTGAGCTTACGGACTGATTGTCCACTTGGAGGACTTCCTCTGCAAGACTGTAAAACTGTCCCCCCCTGAAGCATGAAGCATGCATATTCCAGGTATACCAGGAAATTGAAGAAAGCGTGAGTCTGAGTGAGTCTCTCGGCATGCATGGACGACGCGCGAACGTTCGATAAGTACTCAACGGGAGAATCAACTCCGTAACTCCGTGTACCCGGCGAACAGGTGGAAGCAACTGGGCAGCTGATCTGAACAGCCAACCGATAATTGGTATCACACCCGGCCGGCCGGAAAGTCACTCGATGCTGGAAAGTCACCCACGATGGACTGGAAAGTCATTTGTGTACATTTCGTCGCTCGCTCGGCTGCTTGCGAACATAGATTGTAGCTGCAGTATACGCGCATGAGCAGCTGTAGCTGCTACACGGCTCGTTATCAGTTTGCCAGTCATGCAGGCTTGCTCGGACGCATCGGCATGGGGAACTGCGCTTTTCCACCTTCGTCCGGGCCATGATCGGACGGCCATAGAGCCATCATGCAGGCTAGTCCAGTGACTTAGCTTCGATCGTCTACAATGTAACTCGTGATGACCGCACTCTTTGAGAATGATAGCCATGTTAATCTTATGGGTCTACCGTGACGACTGCGATGAAGCAGCGAGTAGCATCAACGCCCTTCCCGCGTTGCCGAGGCCCTGCGATGGACCTGGCAACGTCAACGGTCCCTGGCAGACATGCCAGGGACTCGGCACAACGATCGACTGCCCTTGGTGTTCTCACGAGTCTGACCAGGCCCAGCTGCCGGAGCTGCTGCGGGAGCGCCTTGAGGCAGCTCTGAGCTTTGCCTGTTCTTTGAGTGAGGAGCGTCCCGGATGCCACGCAACCTTTCGGCTCTATGGCTCCAGCTTAGTGCTGTTCCAGTACCGTCTTGGGCTGTGGCTTCACCTAACTGAGGCACAACACCAAACAGCTTCGGAAAGACGGAGCAGGCCACACGCACTTCCAGGATCCGATGCACGTCAAGCAATCGTAACAGTAACTAACGGCTCGCTGACCGGCGTTCCATCACTGAAGCCATGCTTCCAACACTCCCTGTGCAATCTGCATTCCCTGGGCCAAGTGTCCCCTGTGCTGCAATATGTGTGAGTTCGTGGCCCTCGAGTCTTTCCGAATACCTTGGTTCTTCAGCTGCCTTTCTGCAGCCAAGGTACCTGTGCAGGCGCCAAGGAGCCTGGCACAGCCGGCGCCTCCGACACGAGGTGCGGCTCCGAAAGTCCAGCTTTTCATGGGAGAGGTCTGAGTTCTCCATCTCTGTGCTTTGAAGGTGCATCGTCCCTGGCACTGCCGCTGGCTGCACTGAGCTTGGCAGCTGCTTCTCGAGCTCCCAAGAAGCAGAGGTGCCAGTGCCAGCCGCAGTGCAAGCAGGCTTCTGTACAGGTTTCCCTCTGTGGCAGGCGGACATTGAACGCTCTCACAGGGGATGCCGAGTCGCCGCACATCGTCAGGACGGGGCTCCATGCTGTGTAAGTACGAGGAACATTGCTGATGTCTCCAACTGCAGGCAGTGGCGCTACGCTCGAAGTGCAGCCCTTGGGGGGACGAGTTGCCTGCTTGCAGGTCATGAGAAAGCACGGAAGCTGAGGATCGCGTCTCCTAAACAGCCTGGACTGGACACGTTGTGGTCTTAGAGTTGGCAGTGCAGAGCATATGACGGCACTTGCTTCTCCTTATGTGGACCGAAATTCTTTGGTGTGCTAGTTATGGTTCTCTGGAAGTCACTGCGACCACTGTGCAGCAATTGGACATGCCGGTCACTGCGATCTGGTAAGGTTACCACCTGTGGGTTTACTTCGTTGACAGCTGTGAGCCTTCCTACGCAAGATCCAGGCTGTGTAGATTTTTCTTCGAGCCACTCGGTGCAACTGTCGCTCTTAATGCTTCTGGCTCTGCTAACTGTCCTGCGAGTATGGTGTCTCTGGTACTTCGCTGTACTGAGGAAGGTTTGTCAAGGACACAGCACCGCCTCGTTGCTGTACTGCGCAGCTGGCGGCCTCGAAACCACGCAGAAGGAGGCTCCCCTTTTCTGTCTGTCTGCGAGAAGCCCCCGCCAACTTGCCAAGCAAGCTGCCAGACGAGCGGGTGCAGCCAAGCGAAATGTCTTAGAGGGCGCAAAGCAGCCCAAATAGCAGTGATCGGCCGCATGGCCCGGTCAAAGCAGAGAAGCCAAGGGTAGCGGCCTGCATGTTTTGCACCGTCTGCACTGGAAAGTGACCCTAAACAGTGCAAGGAGATGGACTTGGAGCTCCCAGCATCGGTTCCAGATTTGCATTCTGTGCCCGAGCTGCAGTTGTATTTCATTGTATTTCCATTTCTGTTTGTCCTGAACTGCGACGAGCTTGCATCGCAGGATGACCTGCAAAACTTGGTCGTTCCACCCTACACATTCACGCCCATGGATTTCAGCATGTACGATGTTGTCGTGGCGGCCGACGAGGCCTTTGCATGTGAAGTCCTGATCTTCCCTGGATTCTGCCTCCACTGCGAATCTCTCGCTTTGTGAGGCTACGGCGGAGGCAGTGCGGCAGCGTCTGCGCGAGACCGGGCAGTCGGATCGGGATGAGCTTTGCGCAGCACATCAGCATTTACAAGTCTTCTCCTGTTGCCAACTACAGGGCTCCGATCCGACTTGGGGCCGGAGCTATGGATAGCTACAGGGCTACAGGCTGGCAGACGGTCACTTCCGCTTCCATAACAATACTATCCGAAGAAGCCAACGAGCAGAACCTGTGCAAGCCAAAGCAGATGCAGAATCAGAGCTCTAAAGGCTCACCTAAGTGCAGACCAGCGGGATACCAATGCCCCCGAGGTCTTAAGTGATTTCATGGATGCCTACGACGTACTGCTCGAGGCGGAGCAGGACCACTGCATTCTCTAAGCTCTAAGCAGCTGCATTATGGTTTCAAGCGAGGTTGCGATTCGGCAAAGACTTGTAGTGGTGTCGGCATTGAGAAGGCAAACCGCAAAGCAGCGGTGTTAAGATGAGAAGTCTTGAAACCATGCACTGGCAGAAGACTTTGTCTGGCGGCCATGAAACAAGAGAGCACGTTGCGCAAGCTGACTGATCGGTGCGGGAGGAGAACCCTGTCCTGGAGCCTGCACCCGGCATTGCTCAAGGCATCCTCAGCCAGGCCCGGAACGCTTTTCTGGAGCCAACTTCCGCAGCTGCGAAGTCTCTCAAGGATGGCCTGGCGCAGCTGATGCCCGGCCAGCCCTTGCGCGGCACACCTCCGCCGCGACCCGTGGGCCCGCCGCTGCCGGGCCTTCCTTCGGCTTGGCAGGCGTCTGTATGGGGAGTACATGAAGAGTGTAAAAGAACGAGGGAGTGCGGTAGTCAGTATTCTGATATGTTGAGGAGCTGTGGTCCGTGGCTAACAGATGCTTGGCTGTCAATTGGTACTTTCCAATTTTGGGATTTGCCGGCTCGATGATGACTGTCACATGCCACGAAAGCTGGCGCAATCACGATCGTCTGCCTTGGTAAGGGGCCAAGTAGACATGTGCTTGCCCAAGGTGGCATTGACGAGCTTGCAGACACAGGACGTTGTAAGAAGCTGCGGATGTGGGCAAGCGTGCGAGTAAGCATTGTGCAGTCACAGTGTGGCAGGATCTGCGCAGCCCGCAGAAGAGGTCGGCCGCATCCTGCACGCCGTTGTTGGGTTGGAGCGGTGCTTGAGAGCCTCTCGGCCGAGATCTGATGATGCAGGACATCTAACCCAAATGCAGACTGAGCTAAGCATCCACTGTGGCTAAGGCAAGCATCCCCCCGAACATGCGCTGGTGGAACGACGAGGTCTGAGATAGCTCGGAGCTACGGCTGGGCCGTTGAAGCACGGTGCTGGCCCGCAGGTTCCACCAGGTTCCGCCAGCATATGTCCCCACATGCCAGCATGATCCTAACATATCTCCGCACACGGCATTTGGCCATTTCGATGAAGTAGCGAAGATGCTCGCTGCTGGTAAAGCTGTGTTGAGGCTGTGTTGGCATGATTTCAATGCAGAATCAAGCCTCTTAAGGCCTGGGTGTAGTTCCTGACTCGCCAGGCTAAAGTTCTCGTGCTGTCACTAGGTTTGCCATCGTTCCGGCAGCAAAGCTGCTTCGTTCCTGGAGCTCACTTGAGTGTCCACTCGAGTGTCTAGCAGTCTAGCCTGGTGGGCTGCGCGGTGCTTTCACATTGACAAGATGTTTGGTAACGTCAGGCCAGCCGGTTTGTTAGAACCCTTGCATGCTGCCGGCAGTCCACTTCGAGCAAAACTTCTATTGTCCACAGAAGCTGCGACTCAACTTTTTGAAGCATCGTTCCGAGGGAGAGTTGAGAGTCGGGTGCCAGCGGCCAGCATCCTGAGTGCGGAAGATACATGTTGACTGCTAGATTCTGCTAGATGATACGAAATCGTGGCCACTGGGTGCACACCGCTAAATACACCCTCTGAATCCCTCCAAAAATGTTCACAGCCATCGTCCTCATGCCGCCGTGTAAGCTGCATGAGGGCTGACAGGTATCGAGCCCAATCGACGGGCGACGTGCCAGACCGCCGTCGAACGGCACCAATATTCCTGCTTGGAGAAACGTTGTAGTGAGAGTGGTCAGCCATAGTCTCTCTGGTCCGGGTCTGGTCTGCTGGCTTCGTGACTGAACGAGCCCTCGAGGACCTTCGACTTGGCAACGCTCCCGAAAGAAGCGAAGGCATGTGGCTTGATTCCGGGCGGGTTGTCTGAGGCACGTTGAGGCATGCTGAGTTCCAAAAGTCGATGTGGACGAGCTTTCGATGGCCAATCCTGTCGTGGCGGATGTTGTGCATGTTGCTTGCATGTGTGCGTGTGTGTGTGTATGTACAAACGAATCACCGTAGATCCCCATGACCTTGCTGTGATCGGAAACTCACAAATCCACCCAAAACTGTGTCACACAACCGGTGGTTCGGAGCATAACGAGGCAAGCTTGAAACAAAGCGCAACTGCAATAAACGAACAGTGTATACCCAAGACTGTGCCACGAGATTCGACTGAAATGTGTTTATATTCGAACCTCATGACGGACAGGCATACGAAGTTATCAACTGTCACGGAAATCCAAAAATAAAGAATCCAAAGATTTTGCAGAAGCTTTGGATTAGGCATTTTCTTTTTGATTTTTTGGATTTCCGTTGCTTTCTGGAAATTTTGGATAGAATCCAAAAAAACCCTAGGACATGTGTGTTTGGATTTTGCTGGTGTCGCTGGTCAAAATCACAATATTCTCTAGGGTTTTTTGGATTCTGTTCCCTAGGAAAAAGATAAATTTTGTTGGTGTCGCCGGTCGAAATCAATGTATTCTCAAAAATACCAGCGCCATTAAACATTAGTTGCATGCACAGTATGTATCAGTCGTTGATATGTTGTTTACTTGCGAGCTGTCTTCGAAATATTACTTGAATATCAATAACGCGTTAGGTATGTGTGAAATCATGAGATATTGGTCGAATAATTCATCTCACACGCAAAGCGACATAAATAATGCATGAATATCGAGCACCAAGCGGTGTTGATCATTAATGATCTTTACTAAGTATCTCTTGTTACGGTAATTCGATATTGAAGAATGAACAAAATGATCGCTGTCTAACAATTGCTGATATTGTCCTTCACTTGTCGTCAGCTATCTTCTAAATATTTCCGTATTACAAAAAGCCTTTAGGTATATACTCATGAGGTACTCGTCGAATAATTCATGAATATTAAGCGCACAGCGGTATTACTGTTTGTTGAATATCAATTTCCAAGCAAACTCATGATTCTTAGCATCTCTTACAGTATGACGGTAATTCGATGATTATTGAAGAATGACTAACCTGCGCGAGGCTGAACATCTATTGATCTTACCCTTTACTTGTGGTAAGCCATCTTCTAGATATTTCCGCAACACCAAGTATATACTCATGAGATGTTGGTCGAATAATTCATTAATAGCACACGCTAAGCTAGATTAATCATTTTACTAAGCATGTCTCATACTGGTAATGGTAATTCGATATTGAAAGATGAATAACTACCGCACGAGTCTTTCAGGCAATATTTTTCGACATTAACAGTATATACGACATATTGTTCTGTAGGTCAAGGCTATTCCAACATTTGGTTAGATCTCACTGCTGCATCTCTGATACAATGTTACTAAATAATGCTCACTGCGTAGCGACTTCATATGTAACCCTGATTTGAATGTTAGCTGAACACCAGACGAACATTCAAATAAGAGCTGTGAGCATACTAACCAGGTGTCGTTGAAGTATTAAACAAACTATCACAAAAATACTGCATCCCCCTCATCATCATGTATCATTTGTTTAAACAGTAAACAAATGATACACATATAGCACACACTTACGGTGGAAATATGAAGAAAATACTGACCATCACAGAATAGTTTACAATTCCTATAAGGTTCCAACCAAATTTACAATGTTGCCTGATGTTGCAACAGTCTTATCCGATGATTTTTAATATCTGTGAAAAGTGGTGTTGGATTCCACTACTCACATCAGAGTGCATCGCATATCCTGAGCAGTCAGAACTCCTCAAAGGTCTGGAACCATGAGAAAGCTCAAAACGGGGGTATTCTTTACAGTAGTTACACACAGTGAGCAATAAGAGTGTACATTAATAAAGTAGCAACTGGATGCAAAAGCTTGAATCATGAGCAACAACATCCTCCAATCGTCTTTCTATAACTAGGTTTATACGGATCTATTCTAATTATTCAGGCCCGTTTACATCGCTTAGACCCTGATCCTAAACATCAAGCTCCGAAGCAACATAATATGAACTTTCTGTCCAAGGGCATGACGTTTAAGGACCTTAGTATACATGAAAACACAATAGAAGACACGACATCAAATATCGTATAGTGCAACAACGCAGCAGGAGACTTCCGGCTTGTAACAGTTTCAGTTGCACTGTGCGAGTTCCCCCCGATGGTGGATCATGGGGGGGCGAGCTATTATGGTCACCCCCCCCCCACGATCCACCTCCGTCTTTCTTCGATATGTGTGTGTGTATATATATATATGTATACGTAGAATAATAGTCTATGGCATGTGTGTAGCTGGTGAGATCCTTCTACGATGGTTTTGGCATGTCGTCCGCCTCTTTCCTATCCTTGAAGATGCCGTGTTCTAGATACAAAATCCTACCTCGCGCCGAGCATGATCTGCATAAAGGCTTGGAGAGAGTCCAGCTCCCTAGCTCGGGCAGGTGGCTACAAGGCCCGGGGCTGGGCCGATCAATGGGACTTCCAGCGTCAGGCGCCGGATCGCGGTCCAGGGCCGAATGGATAGCCCAAGGATGTTCTGTCGGAAGAGACGAAATTATGCCTGAACGGTGCGTGAACATACTTGACTGCAACTGGCACGCATTTGGGCCAATGCATGCTCTGTGGCATCTTGCATAGTGCGACAGCATACTGTGTTTTAAAATGATGCAGACAGAATGCACCACTTGATAGTGTTAAGTGCTGTGAGAGGTTGTACGCTGTGGTCGCTATGGTACATGCATTGTATAGGCAACAGTATGGCTGCAAAAGAAGCTATATTTTGGGCTGGTCTCTAGTACCGAATTTTGCATGGAGAGCTTCGCAGGCTTCTGTGCTCCAGCAACAATGGCTCGTAGTGTTCCATCTTATGCTCCAGAGGCACAATGGTTCATGGTGTTCCCTTTGTCATGGCTTTTTTGCACATTTTGCAGAGCCATGTAATCGGAGACTAGGAGAGGCAATGCGTGGGCTCCTGGCTCCTGCACTGCCTACCAGGTGCCTGTGCGCCGTGTTGGCAAGCTCCGTATGGCAGTCCCAGGCGAATCCCGTGCTGCTTCTGTTTACTCCGGAAAGCACTTGTGCTGATTTCGGCGGAGGTGTGCCTGTGCCAGCCTTCCAGGACAAGGCTGGCGATCCACATACTCAAGCCAAGCTAAGAGAACCACTCACGCCAGACTGGTACCCTGGACTCCGGACATGCACCAGCCAAGGGTTGACAGGTGGCAGAGTTTTTCCGTGCCTGTGCACAAGACAAGATCGGAAAATTGCCCGGCTTGTGAGAGACTCAGCTTCTTTTTTTGCGTGCCGGTCCTTAGTCTCTCAGCGGCTGTAACGGCGGCAGCTCCAACAATGGTGCATGTTGCCGTCTAGCTCTCCACGTGACTTTGAGCTTCTCATACTATGGCCGGCACCTTGCATCTCAAGGGTCGAGCCTCCAATAGGGTCCTTGCTTTGTATGCTCTTCTGGCAGCCTCTTCTCAGGTCTGAGATGCTAGAGACAAGCTACAGGAACTTGTGGCAGCGAGGCTCGCGGCTGAAGGTGGAAAGCCAGGAGCAAAGCTTGAGAGCAGTTCCTGCTTTTGACTAGCTTAGAGTAGCCTCCACGGAGTCCATCAAGAGTTTCGAAGTCGACTTTTGCTGTCCAGCCCACTGAAGGCATCATGCATGATCCTCACGTTTGTTGTACAGCAACAGGGGTCAAAGTAGGTTGCTACTGCATAGGCAGCCTTTGAGAAACAGAGGTCGACACACTTTCCTCCCAATATGACTCGGGTTGTATGAAGCGTGGTGGCCCGGCAACAATCTAGCTCCTAGGCGAGTGCCTCCTCAATGCAACGGACTGAACCCGAGAAGAGGCTTCTCAATCAGTGCAGAAACTAACCAAGCAGAGCTCAAGAAAGTGTGTATATGGGGACAACGAAACATGGTGTGCTTGCTAGTAGTCTGCTAGTGCTGCATTTCCCGCCTTTCAAACTTCGAGGAGCTTCTGGGCCTGGAACGTCTCAGTTCGGTGCGCTCTGCGCTTCGAGAGGAGACTCTCCAGGTGGGGACCAAACCTTTCCCTTTTGCCAGCACACTTCTTACCTTTCGCTGAAGGATCTCACAGTGCGATGTTGTTGCAGGCTTTCCGCCGACATCGCTACAGGTCGCTGCTGGGGTTTGGACCCAAGACAGCCAGCGTGCAAGCACTGGGGGCAGTGAGTCGTAAGCAACCACTTGCATCTTGAAAGGAGTGTTTCGACAGCCTGTCCTCTCAGAACTATAATACCTACTTTTTTGACTTGTTTCAACATTGGTACTCAGAGGCCATTTTTCAATGTGATTCGGAGGCTGCAGCTTCTTCGAGGCTTGCGCCGCCGCCGGGCCCTGGAAGCTTCCTTGCTTCTGCGCCCCCCGGCCTGAGACTATCGGTATATACGGCCTCTCGGCGCGTGATAGGTCAACGTTAGTTACGGGCTTGGGTTTGGCCAGGAGCTTGGGCGATCCAGGGCCCTGAAGCAAAGTAATCTCTACAGTCTTTTGTTCCGGAATTGGATTTGTTAACCTTTGTTCTGCCCTGTTTGTTCGGACCCTCGCGCTGTCGTAGTGCACCGTTTGAAATTGAAGCTGCAGTCGAGCTCTTGAAGTACTTGTGACTTCGAGCTCGAGACTTTCTTATATTGTGCATGCTACAAGCACCCAGTACATCCTAGTGCTAAGCGACATACGAAAATTGCGTGCAGCTGCCGTTAAGGTTCCGATGTGCTTCTGGAAAAGCAGAGCGGCCTAGGCCTAGGCCGAAGCCCTCCTCGTGCGCAACGTTGCGTGGGTGGCTCCATCTGGGCTTCTGTACTGGGCAAGCCTGATGTCCGAATTCTAAGCTCAAGCGCGCAGCCTGAAACCGGCAGTTTTCCGCCCAAGACTCTGCGGAGGGGGAACTTTAGCCGTGGATCAAAGTGGTCAGGAAAGCTGACCACGTTGTGAGTGGGAACAGGCCTTCTCCGCCCAAGCTAAACATGCATCAGCGCACATCAGCGCGGAACAGCAGAACAGCAACAGAAGGCCCCAAGTGTTTGGACCACAGCTCAGTTCCTTGGGCGGCTAGAGAGCTACAGTTCATGGTGCAGCCCGTGTTTACATCGCAGGCACGCCGGAGGCCTTGCAGCTTGTGAAGCTGAGCAGCGACGCCTCGATCACCATTCGACCGCACAGGATCTGGGTGAGCACTTCCCATTTCTACGAATTTCTGTGTGAGACGAGGTCTCTTGTAGAAGTGGAGGAAGGGTTCAAGCTCCCCAGAGAAAGGAGAACTCGCCTGCGGCAGCGATACAAGCGCGGGACTTCCAGGATCTCGCGCTCCAGGACTCTCCCGGACTTCACTGCTCCGTGCAAGTCTGTGCCCCGCTCCCATGGTCCCAGGAGATGCCCCTCCACTGCTTGGAAGGGACGGCTTCAAGTACGCCGAGCAGAAAAAGAGGAAGGCTGGACGTGAGATTCCTGGGTCCAATCCTGCCCCCAACAGTCTTTGCACTTGCGAGGCGGTGGAGACTGTGCAGAAATTATTCAGGCAGGGCAATCATGGGAAATCTGTGCCTTTGCACGGCATTGGCTTGTCTTCCCCCACTCGACGAGCTGCCACACTGGTGCCATGTAGGCCAAAGCAGCCTGGGTGAGCTATCGCCTCCTGGTGGATCGCAGCAGATACCCTGAGTCGGAGGTGGCGTTGGGCAGTCCATCCTCTCCGGGCCGTGAAAGTGGCAACAAATTGATCCATGCAGTCTCTGCGACCAGAGTGATTTATCGGGGGAAAAAGGCTCGGGTGCGCTGCGAGGTTCCCCGGAAACGCCGAGCAGAGGAGATTCAGCCTTTGTTGCCGGCACCGCGCTCAGAAATTATGATGCTTGAAAGCACTTGTGGAAGTATGTGCAGGCAGTCACAGGCATGTGGTTGCATCTCTGATAATCTCTGTATGTCTCTGTGTGTGTATGCAGGAAAGTCAGGATGTGGGTTTATGTGCATGTTTATGTACACTGTACACTTAGATCAGATAGATACGCACGCACGTAAACACACCAACAGACTGCAAGTGCTGTACCTGCGTGAAGGCATACGAACCAGTTGATTGTATCGCGCATTCGTGAGTACTAGGAGCTCTTGCGAGCCGAGGAACTCTTTCACAGCTTGAACTAGTTCAAACTAGTTGCTTCGGCGATATGTTCGAGCATGCAAAGTTGCCGAACCAAAGCTTGAAGTATAAGGACTCTTCGCCGCAAGCCTGCCCGTTCGTGCAACCCACCCGGCTTTGCAATCCCATCCAGCTCGACCCCCGAAGCAGCCCCATCAAATCATCGCCAGAAAGACGAAGAGCAAACATGCGGCAGCAACAGAAGCCAACAGCGTCGCCTCGCATCAAACAAATGCAACAACAACAGCAGGCAGTGATATTGACTTCGTCACGGAAGGGAGGACAAGGAGCACGAGTGGACAATCGTGCGACATTAGGTCACCTGTGACAAAAAAGCTGCAGACACGAAGAGGAAACTTGTGTAACGTGCTCACCAACGAAGTTGGCAGTGGAGACTGTCGTAGTCGTAGTCATGCAAGGCCAGCAATGGAAGAACAAACATAGACAGAGTGAACCAAGGGTTTCATTGTCCGTAAAACAAAGCAGTACACAGAAAAAAGAGCTAAGTGAGTCAACAAACCCCTCAAGCATAATAATCATTGCTTGCCCTACAGAAGTGTACATATTATGCGATGCAAATTACATGTTATGTCTTATGTTATATACATACAAGAAATATACGTACATACATACATACATACATACATACATACATACATACACACACGCATACATACACACGCATACGTACAAGCACATACATATACATATACATATGCATATACATGCACATACACATTTACACATACATATACATATACATATACATATACAAATACATAATACAATTACATATACACATACATACATACGTGCATACATACATACATACATGCATACATGCATATGTTTACAAATACAAACATATGCATAGGCCATAGGTATATACATATATATACACATACATATACACACAATAATAAATAAATGCACACATATATATATATGTATACTTTTTTGTATCTATCTGTCTATCTAGATATCTATGTATGTATGTAGGTAGGTAGGTAGGTAGGTAGGCATGTACGTATGTACGTAGGTACGTAGGTACGTAGGTACGTACGTATGTATGTATGTATGTATGTATTTATGTATGTATGTGTGTATGTGTGTATCTATGTCTATGTATCTATGTATCTATGTATCTATGTATCTATGTATGTACGTATGTATGTATGTTTACATATGTATGTATGTATGTATGTATGTATGTACGTACGTACGTACGTATGTAGGTATGTATGTATATATGTATGTATGTACACGCACATGTGTATACATATGTATAAAAATATGTGTGTATATATATATATGTGTGTGTGTGTCTAATCAATCACATGTGAAACTTAACCTGGTGTTGCGCCAGGGCCAGATCATGACCGAGGAGGTCGTCTCTGCGGGCCGGCACATGGGAGAGGGTGGCGGCTGGGCCCTTGGAAAGTAACTGTCCTAACTTGTTGGGCCAGTGAGCTTGTCGTCAAGATTGTTGGGATTGCAGTTTATATATTCCAAGCATCATCGCGAGCATGCGGTCTTCTAGTTTTCAACATAGCTCAGCTTGCTCTTACAAGATAAGTGGCGCGGGAGGTTCATTGTCGGAGGGGATTTCAATGTCACTCCGGAAGAGCGGGGTGCCGAGGCATTTGCACATGCGGTGAATGCCTACATTGTGCCTTCCATGCCACATGTGGATGGGACGAGGTTTGAAAGTAGTCGAATCATTGACTGGTTTGTGGCCTCAAAAGGGTTACGTCTTGGTTCAATGGACACCTTGCTTGCGAAGCTCTCTGATCACAAGATCTGTGTCATTACGACAAATGTTAAGGTTTCGGTGGAACACCGAGGGTCATTCATTGGCACTCCTACCTGGGTTAAGCCTGCTTGGATCACCTCGGCGGGATGGCGCGACTTGCTTGAAATGCTCTGGAAGCAAGGAGAACATGAAGGGTGGCCGCACACATGTCAACAGTTGGAGGAAATGGGATGGCAAGATGAGCTTCTACATGAAAAAGGACAGGAGTGGATTGATTACTTGTGGGCGCGGACTATGGCTAGAATCTGTGAACTGTTTCATATGGCTTACGGCATTGCATTGCAGAATGTTCCGGTGGGAGTTGATGACACGATCAAGAAGGTGGAGGATATTGCGGGGAGGAGACCCTGGAAATTCAATATTCCTGGTCATCAATCGCGATCCTTGCCTACTTCTAGAGCTGTGGAGCCTATGTGGGTGCGGAAATTGCGGAAACGCCTTGGTCGTATTCTGGAGCTCATCACGAAGCATAACATCAATATGATGGTGAATCATGGCGCTCCTGGGTGCAATCTTTGCCCGGCGGGGCTAGCAGATAAAAGGCATCAGCGAGTGAAAGATATGGACATCTTATGGAAGAAACTGAGGCCCTCTGAACGCCCGAGCTATGATGAGGCCACCATCCAAGCTCTTGAGGACGAGGCAAAGATGCTTCACAGCACCATCAAGGAGTATGAGAACAATCAGTTTGCCACTAGGATTAAAACGTGGAAGCACGATATGCGAAGCTCTGTTTCGCATAGAGCGACATGGATTGCAAAGATCACCCAGCCAGAGGTTGAAGTCATGGGGCCGCACAGTCCGGAGAGTACGCCGCATTGCAAGAAGTATGCCTTGGATAACATTGTGGATTATTGGAGGCATCTCTGGACTAGGATCCGATGGACCTCGCAGGAAAGAGATGCGGTAGTGGATAAGGTAGTTGCCACTCTTCGGAAGCATGCCAAAAAGCTTGATCCAGGTGATCCGCCAAGCCTTGAGGACTTCATTAAAGTGGCCAGAAGGTGCAAAGGGACCCATGGAGTGGATGGTTGGACCAAAGTTGAGATCAAGTGCTTGCCAAAGGCCATGTTGGGAGAAGTTTGGTAAACCCTCGGGGAGGCTATGAATGCTGGATTTGTACCTAGCACTCTGAAACATGCGAGAATGGTGATGCTCCCAAAGCCCAATAAAATCACGGATCACGGGCAAATCAAGCCGGGGGCATAAGGCCTATCTCGATCTGTAGCGTTTGGTGGAGAGTGTATTCGACAACTTTGGTTAAGTCCAAGCCGGTTTCGGAATGGCGCAAAGCATACATCCCTGACTGGATTGCTGGAGGGCCGGGCTCCGCAGGACCAGAGACAATTGCGGCGATTGCGGAAAGTCAGCTCAATGAGGGCGCCTTCTTGGCCACACTTGATCTCTCGCATGCCTTCGACACTGTTTCGGTTGCTGTGTATGAGAAAGTCATGGCTAGGCTTCTGCCGGGCTCTATGTTGGGTTGGAACCGACTGATGTGCGCACATTGGGGAGATCAGAAGCTCTGGCTTCAATATCAGGGGCACACTTCCTTTCAGCCCATTACGACCGTGGTTGGCGTACCACAAGGAGACCCAGCCTCACCGCTGGCATTAGCAATGCTTTTGGCAGCAGCTGCTTTGTCGGTGCGGGACAAATGCCTGAAGGAGGGCTTTAGCACCAAGCAGTTGATCTACATGGACGACCGAACCATGTTCACATCAAGTGCGCATCAACTTACAACAATGGTTCAACATTGGGAGGCGGAGACTGCGGTGATGAAGTTCATCGAACATCCAGGGAAATCGCAGTTCGCACATAAGAGCGACCCGAACTTTGCTCATGGCATTGAGATCCTTGGGGCCTACTTGGGAGATGTTGCGCCTGAAAAACAACTTCGAGCTCAAAATCGCCTGCAGGAAGCGGTGCATAATCTGGACAGGATCGGGCATCTGCCCAGGGGCATTTGGGGTAGATTGGAGGACTCCAAAGTCTTCGCACTTTCTAAAGTGCTGTGTGGAGCGATCTACCTTTGAAACAGGAGGTCATGCAGTATGACAAGAAGCTCTGGCAAATGGCGGGTAAGTTGAACTACGCGGTTGCTCATCTGAGATCGTTGATAGGCGGGGCTTCCACCCAGTGGAGTGCTGCTTACGTTTGGAGGGCTGTCAACCTGCTTCGGCGTACAACAAAGTGGGCGGGACTGCTCGATTTCAATCTGGACTTCCTTACGCTGCGGTCGTTGGTCCGTGATGCCCTTTCTGAGTTTGGCTGGACTGTGGAGGGAAATGGTTGGCGACATGTGGATTGTGGCTTCTTCAATCTGAGCACGGAAGCGCATCGGGTGAGACACATGTTGCGGGAATCTTGGCGCCGACTACACTATGGCAAGTTGGCTGGCAGTAATAGGCATGAGCTGCATGGTGAGGTGATTCCAGCGAACGATGAGCAAAGATGCACCAATGTCAGGAAGAAAGCACGTTTGCATCGCAATGTGGGGTTCTGCCTCGTCACTGGGGCCGTCCAAAGTGCAAAAGTGCGCGCTGCAGGGCGTGGTGGAAAAGAGATCAGATGCGGAATCTGCCATCAAACTGGCCATTCGTGGGATGAGCTCAGACACTGTGTAAAGCAGGCTGCACCGGTGCATCTCTCCAGAGAGTCGCTCGAGCATGATGTTCTCTCTAGGCGATTTGTATGGGATCCACAGTGGACTCCGTTCTATGCATCAAAGGTGAAGAAACAGATGCAATGATCACGAGGTTGTTCGGCATCCACTTGGATCCGACAATCGTGCTTGTGTGCTCTATGGTTTTTCAATAGAGATCTCGTCGAGGCGGATCCCTATGCAACGACAACCACCTTTTCAACATGGTCGTGGCGCTGGTAGTGGAGGGGGCCGCGGTGGTATCTGTTTCAACGTAAGTTCCGGTTCTGAAGCTCAGCCGTGCCGCAGCCACGCGCGGAGTTCAAGTCTCAGCAAAGCATTGGACTGTCTGCGTGATGCAATTCTGGAAGCCCTTCGCAACCAGAGTGAGGAGATCCGCGCACAGAAGTTCAGGCCAAGGATCTCGAGGTGGGCAAGATTAAGGCCGAGATCCAGGTGGTCAAGTCGAGGCGATTTGATCCCATTCAGCTCGTGCTGGATGTGGAAGACCTCAAGCAAGAAATGCGATAATTGAAAGGTTCTGATGAGAACGGAGGATCTGCGAGGCGCCCAAATCCGCCCCAGAATCGCCGGCGAAGCCGGCGGCCGGAGACGCCGAAGCTGCAGCAAGTGCTTGCTGAGTCGCTTGAGCACGGCAGGACGAATTCAAAGGATACCTGGAAGGACTCTTTTTCCACATGGGCATCGAAAAACCTATGGAAGACACCCCTGGACGTGGGACAAGGAAGACTGGCAAGAATGGCAAAGGAAAGATGCGGGTCGAAGCACTTATCCGAGCGGCTGGGTTGCATTCCGGACACGCAAACTTGCTAATGATGCGAATGTGTTGTTTAAATTTGTTACCATGTGTTTCAGTATTTCCAACACCTAGCGACCCTTCAGGAGACGATGGCTACTATGGAAAACATCGAAGCAGCCAGTCGTACTGAAGGTTGCATGTTGGCCACTGTGCCCGATGGGAATTCATTCTGTTGAAAAGTAATTGAACTGCACTGCGTGTGCTGCAGACAAAAACGGCAGCACCGTCAAACTGTGGAAAACGGTTGGCCATGCAGTTGTGGCGTGGTTCTGCTGTCGGGTATCGTCGCGCGTAGAGCTTGTTTTTATCATTATTTTGGCCGCTATGATTGTCATCCTCTCATAATGTTATTTAGAGACTCTGGATCCGTGCCATGCTTGGGATGCGATTGAGCTGACATAACGCACTGAGGCGGCTCTAGCATGTACCTGCCCTCCATGAAGATTCTGCTCGATCGTGCCGAACATGCAGTGCCTTGGTGGCGGTTTCCTCCTTTCCCATCGGAAACATGACAACCTCGGCCCGAAACTGATGAGTCTGAGGAGCGCGTGGCCTTGGCCTCGGTGCTCAACCGTCTTGGCGATGCCAAGAAGATTCGGGGGGCCGAGCGCTCAGAGATGAGGCTCTGCATGGAATCAACGCGTTATGCTGGGCTGCGGAAGGTCAGGTGTGTTGAAGCGTGCGTAGACCTGCTCCGGCGGAGTCCTTGCCTTTCTTTTGAAGTTCAGGTCGTACGACTCTACACATCGGCTGCCCTTTGCATCTCATGCCTGGCGGCTTTCTGTGGCTGGGCGTAGACATTGTAGACTCTGTAGACATGAGATTTCGGCATGTAGCGGTTTGTCAATGTCAGAGGCCACTGCAAACGACTCCTCACGTCGCTGTTTTTCGAGGACGGTCGTCGGAGCATCTCTTTGGTATTCCGCGGTGCACGCATCTGCTGACTGAATGCCCCTGTGCAGATCAGCTGTGACTCCGCCGATGAGTCGCAACGCTGGTCGGACACAGCGGCGGGTGGAGAAGAATCGCTGGACAAGTTTCGGACCAGTGGCTTCGCCAGTGCTTTTGTCTCCAAAATGCACGTGATCTCCCACATTGCCCTGGCAGGTGCAATCCTTTTTTGTTGCAGCTTTATCGGTTCAAACGCGTTAGGGCTTTGTTTGTCCCGGCAAGCAGAAGCAACGAGAAGACAAGAAATGCCTTTTTTGCAAATCCGAGGGGCACGTCAAAGTTATAGCCTTCGTTGCGTGATTCCGAGCATTGGCGCCATGACCACCATGGCCTCTGCCCCAGTGGTTCGAACATGAACACATGGAAAGCAGACTGAGGCAGGAATCCAGGAAGGCAGGTAGACCGAGGTCGCTTTGGAGTCTGCTTGTGGTGGCGGGTGCATTGGCGCTGCCCTCGCTTTCGCCCTGCTCTCGTGCTGATTGTTTCCGAAGTGCTTGCGATGTCTGGGTCCTGCGTTCGTCGGCTTGTTGTGCTCGGCGAGGCCTGGCAAGCTTGGAAGACCCGGCGGAGCAACGGGATGGCCGATCACTCGCCGCTCCTCGGATCCATGTAAGGCCCCAGCAGGCCCCTGTTAGGGGTCCAGGGCTGATTCCCGGGGACCTGATCCAAGGCCGCCCTTGGCCTCGCCTGCCACGAAGTCGCCGGCTCGGATGCTTAAAGCTGGCCCATGCTGCACCTCAGCGGCGTCTCAGGTATATGACATCTCCCAGCCGGCATGTCCATCGAGAGTCGCAGCCGCTGCTGCCTCAGACGCCTTAGCCGGGCCATGCCCGTCGCTCGAAATCGTGACTCGGAGGAGCTACAGCCCGACGAGCAAGGTGTCAGCCGAAGCCCATGGCTCAGTTTGAGTCTGCCGACGGTGACGAGCGACTCTGCGAACGCGTTATGTCAAGAGTGTGATTTCCGCGGCTGCGTCCGAAGCCGCTAACGGGTCCGAGGCGTCCCTGACAACGACGGAGGCGGATTTGTCCAAGCTGCCGAAGATTGGACAGGCCCTCCCCATTCGTCGTGCAAGGTTGGCTTTCGAGGTTGGCCCGCGGATTTGAAGGGGCTAGGAATCCATTGCGTCAGTGCCGGAGCTACCGTCGGGCAGAAGTCGGCACCCGTGCAGGATTTTATGTCAAACCCGGGCCGGTGCCCCCAGTGCCTGTGCCAGGGCATGGACAAGAGCGAGTTCTTGGACCTGCTGAAAAAGCCCGGCCCACAGCCTCGGGAGTGCAGGCGGCCCTGAGCTGCTCCGCAGGCTCATCGGAGAATCCAAGCATCTGCAGAACAACCCGCGTCTGGGCATCCATCCGGAGGATATATTGGGCAGAATCAGAGTTGACCTCGATTGTGACCGTGACAGGAGAAGCGGGCAGCAGCTGTCGTCATCAAAGAGCTGGAGGCAACTGCGATGCAGCTGGAAAGGGGAAGTGAGCCCCGTCAAGTTGTCCGGTGGCAGCTCCAGGCAGTCTCCACCCGTGCTGGTGGTCCCCTGATCCTGGAGGCGGTGTGCGGTCTGCAGATGATTTGCAGCATTGGGCCTGACCCAACACTGGAGGAGCTGGAGTATGTTCCTGGCAGATCCAACCTCAAGGTGCGTGCTGCGCCTTTTGGCGCTGGGATGTCTCCCATGGTGGTAAAACGAGCGGCTTCCGTCTGGCCTAATGCACAATCTGGCAAAAGGTGACCTACCCGGGTTCCGGCAAGGAAACAACGGCCTTCGTTCCCGGCCCGGCGACATTCAGAGGACGGGAGACCTCATACGACCTCTGCAAGATGAGGTGGGCAGCCACTTCGATGTGGTCCCTGCAGATCCGGAGGCGTGGTCCAAGGACCGGTTGAGCGTTCTAATTTCCTGTCGCCCTCGCTGATTCGCTGAGATCTCGGAAACGGTTTGGCATGTCTGGCATTGCTACATGCAGGACCCCTTTCAGCTGACCGTAGAGGGCGACCTGCTCTATGGCAGAGGAACCACCGACTGCCTAGGCCAGGCATTTAGGAGACTGCAGTGATTGTGTGTTTGAGTTTGAGTGTGTGCATGAGTGCTATTCGCGCTCGCGCTATGAAGGCCACGTCGCGCTTCTGACCCTCTTCCTCCGCGAGCTTGGTCGCACGAAGCCAGCATTGAAGCGAAGCCCTTGGCTCAGACGCCCGAAAGCTCGGCACACTGTATACACTGTTCAAGCAGCTACCCTCAGGACTACACGTACTGTTGACTCTACACTTGGGAGTACGGTGATGTTTGGACATGAACTGAGACAATATGGAGCTGAATCTCTTGCAGGCATCGTGGTGGTCTTCATTGCTGCTGAAGAGGGCGGCGAGAAGAATATTGGAGTGGATGCAGTGCTGAAGAACGGCAAGTTGGAGGAGGCTTTGCGGCCGAGTTGTGCGCCTAGACATTGGGCGCCATACGAAGCAGCAGTGCCTCAACGATCGGCAACTGTACGTTTCACTGAAGCAGGCCAAGAACGGCCCGGTATACTGGGTCGTGGCCTCAGCTCGAAGGAAGGTGCCCCGCAGAAAGCAGGACGCATGTCGGAGCCTTGAACTTGGCAGGTCGACTCCGCAGATTCCAACCCTTGCTGCGGCACTTCGGGAGCACTGTCCTGGTGCGGGAAACCCTTGTTTGTGTAGAGATGTTGCACAGAGAGGCAGAGGAGGGGGTTTCAAGTTCTTGCAACGAAACTCCCCAAGGCTGGGGTTGGGAGTAGGCACGCGAGGATATGCCAGCAGTGACTTCGTTTCGTGACTTTCTGAAAAGTTGGCAGTGACAGCACCTATTTGGATTCTCCCTCGAGCCTTGCATTTTTTGGTGGTGTACGAGAGCCCCAAGACCTCGAGCTCCGAAGTGTTCCTTGGAAGGGCCCGAACCTGAGGGCTAGTTTACTCCCAAGCTGTGCAGGTCACTGAAGTGTCGAGGGCGCTTGTTCCATAGCGGCATCTCGGCGAATGTAGCGCAGTCGACAGAAGTCGGGTTGCAGGGACAGTTTTCACAAGCCGAGGCTTCCCAAACAAGGCCATCAATTCCATTGAGCTTGCCAATGAGGATCGGAGACGGTTCTTGCCGTTTCTTGTAAGGGTGTAGATGAAGTTGAGTGTGAGCTAAGAATTCGGATGACTCGCGAAGGGTCTCATACAGAAAAATACATCCTTTACTCCTTCTTGCTGTCAGGCCATCGCGTTCATCCAAGAACGTTTCTACAATGACTTCAAGCCACTTCCCGAGGAGGAGCTTTACTCCTTCGGTATGGGGCTGGGGACTCAGCCAGAAAGGCATGCAGGGCCATTGGGTTGCGGTATATTGCAGCCAGGTCTCACATGAAGCCGACTCAGATCGAGTGCAGCAAGGGCTCCTTCAACCAAATCCCCGCAGAGACCACGGTCCACGGCGATATCAGGCTCGGCGTCATCTGAGTGTTCGACGTGCGCCGCCGTGAATGTCTGTCGATCTCCAGGTTGTCTCCCTTCTATGAGGTCGAGGACGTTGTTGAACACATCGAGCGTTACGTCCAGGATGTGAGCCGCTCGCGTCGGCGTTGAGCCGTCGTTCTGTCTTTCAAGATGTGCTCTGCACGGTAGGAGCTGAACGACGACATGGAGTGCTTGATGAGTTCGGCTCGAGGCAAGGCTGGAGATGGGTGCTGTAGGGAGATGGCTCTGAAAGCTAGCAGCCAGAGTACAGGGATTTACATCAAGGGCTGAGGGTTCCATGAGCGAGCACAGGTCCCTGGAGCAAATTTGTTCTCCCAAGCGGGGTGCAGGCCGGACATGAGCAGTAAAGTTGCAACGAGGTCCTGGCGGTGCCATCTTAGTATCTTGTGGAAGCTGCGGCAGGTACAGGACGGCGAAGTCAACCGGGCGAAGGCAAACGAAGGGGAGATGTCAAACTCTGATGAGGAACCTACTAGTAGGAATCCAACATCCGCAGACGGAATCAGTCTTACCCTTTAGGCACTCGAGCTGCGACCGTATAGTTGTTCTGCAGTCAGAGCTGTGCTCCTGCTGAGGTGGAACTGAAGTGGATCGGCGACATGGACACATTCCGGCTGTATGCCGGCTTAGCCGTAAAGCTGGAGTCGGATGGTCACAAGGCTGAGCAATGGCAGAGTTTAGCCCTTCTTTGGTTGGAACGTCATGGGCTCTCATAGTTCGATGGAGGCTCTGGTGCAGGCCTTCCGAGAAAGCAACAAAGGCAGGGCGCACGTGGTAAAGCGCTCAATTCAGATTGCAGCTGTGACTTCACTCAGGTGCAACTAAGTCTGCCTAGAGCCTCTCGCCAAGTTTTCACTTGCATAGCGCATTATGCGCGATCGACCATTCTGAACTGGCGCAGCCACTACTAGTACCACCCTCTAAGCAATCCGACAATGTGGGTGCGGTCATCATTGCAGACTTCAGGGTCTCATGCGTACTGGGAGAGAAGGCGTCCAGCCCTTCAGCATCAATGGCTCGCTGCCGCCCGGGCCCCAGTAGTCACCGAAAATAGTCGTGCAGACATGGACAGCACAGCGATTCGCGATGATTCGCGAGTGATGGCGACGATCGCGTTTCCTGCAGGCTTGTGAAGATGATGCAGAAGGCTGGCAGTTTCGAGGGCCTGATAGGGTTGTTTGATGTGTCTATCGGCCGCAGGCTGGCTTCGACATACAGATGTGTGGCTTTGGGAAGATGTCCGTCTACCATGGCGTCAACGAGTGCCCATCGGGTCGTTCGCTTTGAGATGCCTTATTGGACCAGCAAGCGGCCATGAGTCGGGGGGTCACGTTCAAAGCAGTCCCGAGCAAACATCCGAAGCTGTCATGTGCAAGACCACGAAGACACCTGAGGCCAAACTGCAACAAAGGCATGTGGCAATCTCCATCCGAACAATCTCGACAGAGGGTGAGGAGTGCACCGATGAAGGAGCGCGATGTGTTGGAATGCGCTGTCGGATGTCATTCTTCTATAGAGCACGCAAGAATGCCCCACTCACATCTTTTCGCAGAAGCTGTCCTGTGTGTGTGTGCGCGTGTAGACCATGCTCGTTCCAAGAATAGCCCGAGGCCTTTCTCCCGCTTCTGTGGTTATGCATAGTGCAAGACTGTTCTGGCATTTCGATTTTGGGTTTGGGCCGCTCCTTGGGAGGTGCGTGGCGTTTTGATTGTTGGGTTTCTCACTGCGCCGTTTGGTGGTAACACCCACCGCCCAAACCAGAGATGAAGGATGTTAGATTGCCTAGTTTCAGTTGCGATAGCTGGTTCTGGCACACATATGCTCGCCACAACACCTGCCCTCGAAGTGTCCGACTTGCTCGCTGTTCGACTCATGACCATGTGTCAGCATTGTGTCGGGGCTCTGTCCTTCCTATGTGTATAGAATGGACAACTTGCTGAGTGGACGCAAACTTATCACTTGCGCGAGGTATTGTACGTTTTCGGAGATGACAAAGGCGCACGAGGTTATCGTTCGCCTGATCTGTCTCCTGGACTGGGGATCAGGTAATAGCTGTGTCACGTCATGTCGCATCCACGGTGGTGCCATGTTGGACTAGCAGCCCTATAGCACGAGACAAAGGCACGGCACAGCGGCATCACAGCAACACACCTTTAGGCGGTTCGATGCGCAAACCAAGCAAGCGCCAGGATATCCTCTTTAAACGACATCCAAAGCAACACCAGCCTTGAGGCTCCGCTCCCACTTACCTAGCGATGTAAGTGGTTTCAGAATTTATAATCACAGCGTCGGCAGACTTTTGTAAAAGTGAAAGCAATGTCTTGGGCGATCCTGGACTGGAAAACAGCAGCCATAAGCAATCGATCACCCTTCAAGTGGTTACTCGTAGTGCCACGAAGCTTATGAAGGGCTGTTGGGGCCCTTGAGAAAGCATGTGGTGCAAGGACGTGGTAGGATCTCAACTCAGCAGACATGCACTGCACATGATGCATCGCATCACGCAGGAGATGGCTGCAAAGTGAGCCTGTTCCCGGACCGTTGTGAGTTGCGCTTTAGGCTCGCCTTTCCGGAGTTCCACGACAATGGTGTGAGACTGCCAGCACTCGGCCTTCAATGCTACACGTGAGTGTAACAATGAAGCCGTTTTGTTCTTCGACGAAGATGCCACACCTCTTCTATCATGGAGCCTGGAGCCCTGGGAGAGCGTGAAAGGATCCACCGGGGGTGTGCCCCGAAGTTCTCTGTGTGACCTTCCGAGGTTCACGAGCAAGTGGCCGTGGGTCATATAAAAAGTCATGTCATGACAGGCAATGCGGTTGATGTCCGGCAACATGGCCTTTTCCATTGCAAGGCTGTGCCTACCTCCGCGAAAGGGCCCAAGATGTCCTGATACCATGCTAACCGACCTGCAACAGAACAGTGCACCATACCTTAACTTTTCCTGTTCAGGTGGTAGTGACTTAGTAGCACGCGTGCCAGACCCTGAGCCAAAAAGCTATCTTGGTTCGGATGCTTGCAGCCCCGATGGCCTGATTCACCGATAGCTGCTACTGTATTTCTTCAGAAGAGGGGGAGTCTAACCGTCTTATGATGCCCATGAAGACCTGAGCTCTTTCTTTTCCCGAATCGGAGTATGCCCGCGAATTCTGGCCGTGTCCAGACGCCATGGAGGGATGACCGACGCCCGTAATTGCGCGCCTTGATGGATGGTTCGCCACTGCAGCCACGACCTCACAGGGCTTTTTCCAGGCACGCCAGTCCAATTAATGCGTTTTTTCGCTCGTCCAAGGCACTTTTCCAACACATCGCAAGCATCTCCTGCATCGTCACCAACAAAGAGCTCAGGCTGGAGGAAACAGTTTCAGCATCCCACAAGCAGTATGCTGGTACTCAGAATGCATACGACGACGGACTCGGTCCTCTTTTTCCAGAATACTTTCTCTCTATCTCTCTCTCTCTCTCCCTCTCTGTCACGCTGGCTCTCTCCCTCCCCTCCGTTACGTTCCTGAAGCAGGTGGTTTTCGCGCAACAACACAGTCTGCACCATCCAAGCTGATGGATGGACAGCTTACTCTGTTGAGGACCCCATGATGAGAAGGGCGTAGCCGAGCTTTTCGCATTGCACAGGTGCTCATATTGTAGCGTGCCCACCTTTGGCGTCGAGCAGTGCTTCGGACTGATGCTGATGACTGCCATAATATTATAATATGGCGATGGACCCATGGCAACAGACTCGTTTGGGGAAAAGCATCGAGATAAACGACTGTGAAGACGGCAACCACAACTAGCCACAGCACCAGCACCAGCACCAGCATCATGGCCAGAAGGGCGTAGCTGCTTACTGCCACCGCCACCTCGAAGCGACTGCTGCAGGAACGCTGGTGTTGCTAGCACCACCACTACCGCAAATATCAAGCACACGATGACGAGCACCACCAATACTGCCAGTACTCCAGTACCTATAGTCGTCGTAATATTCTGACAGGTTCAGCAAGCAGAGTATACCAAGAAGGTGGTGATGAAGGTGGTCAAACATGTCAAAACGACGATGATAACAACCCAGCGATCGTGGTGATGGTGGCGAAGGAGATCATGGACATGGTGCCGGTGCTAGGTCTATTGATGCGGGCATATTAATGTCGACAAGGATGGTGTGGCTGTTGATGATGGTGATGCTGCAGCCCATCGATGTCAGCAATAGCGAGTTCAGCATGCCTCTGCTCCTGTTGCTTGCTTGAGCACGGAGCCAGATGGGCCGAGGGAGAAGTCTCCAAAGTAAATGCGGCTGCCAGGAAAACTCTTCGCGAAAGACGAGGATCCAATCGCCCAGCGGCGCTGAGTCCTCTTCCGCCATCGCCGAAACTAGCCGAATGATTGTTCGGGGTCTAGGATGTCAGCCTGCAGCATCCTGCAAGCAGCGCTGGAGGTGTTACTGAGGGTGCCTGGTAGGTCTTGGCCCGCAGTGGGAGACTGGGTGTTTGATGTGTAGCCAGGGGCTGAGGTTGAGACATAGCAGAAGCAAAACGGTTCAACCCCATTGCCCTTGGCCACCACAAGAGGCAGAAGAGGAAGAACCGGACATAAAGGCAAAGCATCAGGCCCTCAGACAAGAACGCCCATGGTCTGTTTCAGCATAGTCCTTAATTTTGTTGATGCTTGCATTGCAAGCTCGCCCAGCCGTCTGACAAGGCCTCGATCGCCACACTCGTTGAACCGCGGCACGTCCTGCCCTCCTCAAGGGTCTGGAGCTCAGTGGTGTCGTCGATTCTTTGCATACGAGTCCATTCTGAGATGATGCGAGGTCCCTGGCGTGCCGCATAGGGTCCCCAGCGGATGCCTCTCCCTTCCAGTCGGCCAGCGCTAGGCAGGGCAAAGCGGAATCGAGCTGTATCGCTTGCACGTCGCTGTGGTCGCGAAGCTGCTGCTATTGTCTCTGCTTCACGCGAACAAATGCCGGCAGGCCCGACGTTCGCAGCACGGCCTGGCAAGCACGTGGAGAAGGCTCCGTGGAGGGTTTTGTTAACAGTAGTTGTGTGGGATCCACAGGACCGTCAAGGCATGAAGTAGTCACTTGATTGCTTGTCTCGCCTTGTGCTTGAAAGTTGAACGCTCGTCCGAGAGCCAGGATTTTCTCTCACCGACTTGTAGTATGATGCAGTTTGAGCTGGCAGTCAGAGGCATTTTTTGCCTTCAGGCGGCGAGTCGACTCCCAAAGCGCAAGAAATTCGCTCGCCGGTTCCGAAGCGAAGGCTGCAAACTCTCCTGGTGCAGTCGGATGTCCATGCAGCTGTCTCCTGAAGGTGCATGGAAGGCTCCAAAGCTGCGCCTGAATCTTATGCCGGAATCGGTTCCAGGGGCCTGCTCGCCTTGGGACATGCTAGACTCCGCGTCTCTGTAACCGTCTCGTCATGTCTCGTTTGTTCTCTAGACCTTCTGAGGTCTGCAAGCCCGCGCAACATGCGTCTGGGGCGCGGGAGTGGCGGAGGAAGCGCAGGAGGCGGCTGAGAATGAAGTTCTCACAGCCGAGGACCTCTTATGGTAAGAGGATGTAAGACGGCATGCTGCCGTCAACTGTACAGGATCGCCGCGGTTCTATGTTGATTCAACAAACAAAGACAAGAAAGAACCGATTGCTCACGTGACTGTAGCGAAGTCGTGTAAGATGGGCAGGTGACGAACCAATACAGTACGCAAGGACTCCTGCCTCCCGTGCCCCAACAGCGCGAGAACAGAGAGCAAGACCCGAACTTCATGTCTGAGCTGGCCGCCGTTAATGGGCTTCGACCGTCCTGGATGTGGCAGTACACTTGACTGAGGAACACTTGCAGCCTCAATTGTCATATCTGTTCTAGAAAGGGGCTGATGCATTGCTTGGCCATGTGGGGCAGGTACGGTCAAGAATCTCTTCCCCTCGAAAACTATGTTTGTGTTTTGGGTGCCTGTCAAGCTGAGTGTTTGCAGCGACAGGTGCGCTGCAGCCGCGGAACGAATTGCCGAAGCAGCAAGCTTACTGGGAGTTGCAAGACTATGCCAGGGTTTCTTCGGGCGCAGTTGATGCACCCACATTGGCTTGAAGACTCGCTGCCCGACTTGAGCCCTGGGCTTCAGGTATGTCGCGGTCGCTGGCAAGAGAGTCCCCGTGCCCTTGCTGCTGCGCATTGCCGGGCTGTTGCCTGTGGCCTCTCTGCCGGCCTTGAGGAGGACTGGGCCCCCCCCAGTGGGAGAATCCAGTTCTTGTTGGTAAACGCATCTTGCCATGACCCCGCTCTCTATCTTCCCTCGAAGCACCAGGCTCCGAAGTGTTGCGTCGTCCTTGCCTTTGTGTAAACGTCCGAACGGTCAGAGCATAGCCAAGATCATTGTTTTTTTAGGCTCTGCTTTGACTGTGTCGAATGTTGTTGGTCCGCGGCACTGCACGGGCTCCAGGACCTCGGCTGGCTTCTATCGTGCCATCCATGCGAGGCTTTCAGAGGACTGGGACCTGCATGTAGCTACCCGAACGCTGGAGAAGGTCCAACTTCTGGCTGGCGTGTGTCCAGGACCCTGCACAAGTCACGGCGCTGGCTGCCCACTTGGAAACCAAGCGTAGAGGCCTCAGACAATCAGCAAAAAGCACCAATAAACACTTCATGGGGTTTTGGACCAAGTCGGTCATCGTTGTTACTAAAGCCAGGCAACGCGAAGTATGGGTTCAGGGTGGGCCCGTGACACTGGGGAGTTCTACACGAGACCGGCGCGGAGCGGTAGGATTTCACGGTGCCCCGCACTCCTAGATTGGGGTTGTGCGCTTTGAAGCATCGGTATCACCAGACCTGACCTTTGCTGGAGAAGGATCTCAAGCTTGAGGGACTTGGTGCTTGCATGTTGTTCCGAGGCCTGAAGAGCAAGCGTGTCTGGGTTTTGGTGAGAGCCCGTCCAATCTCAGACGGCATCAGCTGCATTGTGATCGAAGCTCGGCATGACAAGTCAGTTGCAATTGTCACTGCACTGAACTGCCGCTCTTCCTTCTCCGGTGCACAGAAGCACAGCAGCGGAATACAAGTGTGCAAAAGTGTCCTCAGCATCTGCTTATGCAGGCACTGCTTTGCAGCTTGTGGTAGGTGGCAGTCATAGCATACATCCGAGGACAGGAACAAGGTGAACGTGAGCAACACCAACGGTGCCCCGACCTCCTTCTTCTTTGATCAGGCACGGCCATGGTCTTGCCCACCACAGATCGGGAGTGGCGCTTGTGTTTGTGCTGATATCTGCCAGGCGTTCGATGCCGCTGCTACCCAGGCGGGCAGAGCAGATGTCAAGCTGGCGCATGCTATCACGCTCGTGGGCACTGCAACAGGAGCAGGTGTGCGACTACGTCAGTGAGCAGGTGCTGCCACATGCCATCAACGGTGAGCACATCTGTGACCCGGCTGAGATGTGAGGCGCAGAGAAGGTATAGCTTTCTGAGCCATGCCGCGTGCCACCCAAGGCATTTTGGCATACGGCCAAACTGGCAGTGGCACCACGGCCGGGCTTTGCCAAAAGGTTTCGTTTTTCTTCCTGCAGCAACTTCACTGCTCCAGCCGAGGTAAGACATATACCATGTTTGGTGATTTTGCCCCTGGGCCGTCTCCGCGGGACAGCGCATCGGCCAACCAAAATCAGGCTCCTTCGAAGAGAAGGTCCGGGATGGTGAGAAAATCAGAGCCATATGTATCCTGGCCAGGGCGTGGCGTTTCGCGCCATGAGCCGTCTTGCAGAGATGATGCGGTCCAAGGCTCGGGGCTTAGGATGGAGGGCGCGCGTCAGGGACTTCGATTGAGTTGTCTTTGAGCTTCGCTTGCGCCGTGTTTGTTACCACTGACGGCCCTGCAAGCACCGAGTGATGAAGCTCCGCTGCTCAGGGCCTCGATGCGTCAAATGCGCCAACAGTGGAGCTCAGCTTCTTGGAGGTGCGCAAAATCCAGAAAGAAAGGGAACTTTGAACGTGGCACCGGTTAGTGAGCATTGGTATTGGCAGCCTCACCGCCTTCCCGTCACTAGAAACCTGATTGGTCCCCTGGTGGGGCTTTGCGATTTCTTGCTTCGCCCACCTTGCAGGTGTACAACGACAACCTGTATGACCTGCTTGATGGCTCACGCCAGGCAGAAGTCTGCCTTGTACATCTCGCGGGACGCTGGACACTGCTAAGCCGTCTGCTGCCCCCTGCCAGTTACCGCGCTTGCGCTCCAGTGAGAAGCACGTGGTGCCACAGGGCCTGACCCGAAGGCCCTGCGGTCGCCCGCGCTCGCCCATAGCATCCCATCTCATCCGAGAGCCGCAAGGCGGTGTGAGCTGAACGAGATGGAGCAGCAGGTTCACAGCTGGTTGCGGGAGGCGAACTTCGCGAGAGAGAGGGGGGGGCAAGGGAGAAAAGTAGCTCTCGTCAGCCGCGTCAGCTGCGATGGCAGGGCGCCGCGACTCGCATGGTCGGCAAGACCGTCTTTAACCCTCGCTCCAGTCGAAGCCATGCAGTAGTTATGCTGCTTGGATCAACATGCAAATTGGAAAGCGGATTCATGTCGTAAAGCCTGCAATTTCTTTTTCATATCGCAGTCTCAAAGTGAGGCTCCATTTGTGCTGGTCTCAGCAGGCTGGAAGACCTTTGCCCTCTGGCAGATGTCTCTACACTGCTGCACGGATGCGCTCGCAATTGTAGCTAAGAGACAACATGCGGACATCGCTCAGTGAATCGTTACGGCGATACGGGTCTCGGCAACCTGCGGTCAAGCTACCCACACATCGGCACAGATCGGTTAAGGAAGTTAAGGCATGGAAAACGATCTGCAAGTTGTGTCTTTCGGCGTTGGCAGACCTCTTCCTCTCGGCTGCGCCACCTTCCCGGCTCCACGACGCGTGAGACGCGTGTGTATCTCGTGGACTTGGCAGGCGGGACCCGGAAGCTCCTAACTCCCAGCCTCCCGGAAGGGATCTGTTAACGACATACATGTCAACATAAAAGTGAGAGCCACAACAGCAAAATGCCACAGAATCTCAGCAGCCCAGGAAGATGCTGAAGTGAAATTCTGCATATTTCTCTGTGGTGGGCGACGTGTCTATGTTGGAAGCCAAGGGGGCTGAAGAGTCCTAGTAAAGGCTTCTCGTCCGCCGGGGCGGCTGAAACACGGAAAAGCGGCTGAAGCATCGGACATGCGGGGTGGGGAGGGCATCCTGCGAATCTTTAGATTGACGACGGCGCCCGAGATGTTCGTCTTCGGACAGCATCGGAACCGTATACTTCGTGGCTTTGTAGCTACCTGGGGGTTTCCGAAAATAGGGAACCCTAAAATAGTACCCTAAATAGTAGGATCTTTATTATAAGGACCCCAAAATAAGGTAGCCTTGTTTTCGGAAACTCCCAGCTGTGGCCAGGGAGTGAGAGGGCGGGGCTGCATGCCCTTGGTCCGGAGCAGCTGAAGGAGGGAGAGCACATCAACCTCAGCCGGCGGCTCAGGGTGAGCTTCCAGGGGGCCCAGGAGAGGTAGACGAGGGTCAAAATATATAAATATATTGTAAAATATGAGATGATATAGTGTAAAAAAGGAATATATATATATAATATATATATATATATATATATATATATAGATAGATAGATAGATAGATAGATAGATAGATAGTATAGAATATATAAGTGTTGTGCCTTCCAAAGTGGACTGTATGAGCCAACACGGACGTTGGCCATCCGCCTGTTAAGTGGTCCCGCAGCTGGTGGTCACAGCGCTCCCGGAAGTGACTTTTGAAGCTTCCGATCCGTTCAGCGACACTCTGCAGTAAGGGTGCTCAAGAGCCAAGAACAACGGTACCTGAACCAGTAGTATTCCAACAACCAGAAGTATACTCGTTTGAGCCCTCTGTGTCTCGGTTCTCTTGGTCCCGGTGTCACACGACTCAAGATCACAGCCTGCGATGCGAAGAAGCAACTGACGTTTCGGTAACCTTGAGGATTTGTCTGCTGATGCCTGTCATGACAATTCAGGCCTGTCTGCCCTGGGCCGCGTCCGCGGCTAAGGTATGCTTCCTTCCTAGCAGAAATCCTGTCAAAGTTGGCTCAGCTATTCTTCGCCGAGGTGGTTGGAGCTTTGGCGAGTGGCAAGTGTGAGCATGTGCCGTGACCATGGCTGCATCGTTGTCCCTAGTACGGAAATATGTACCTGCTTCAGTATGGAATATGCTAACGTTCCAAGGAGAACCTTGGCTGTCTTGACGGATCGGTCTGGTCGTGTTTGTTGCTGCCGCCGTCTAGCTGCCACAAGTGCAAGACGAGAGTTGCCCATTTGCCAAACTGGCCTAGGATCCCTTCACAATTTCCATCCGAGGCATAGTATGCATGCATGTACGAATGTATGCATGTATGGGTATGTATATTGATATGTATATGTATGTATGCATATATATATATGTATAAATATATATATATATATATATGTATACTTACACATGTATTTACATATGTATATGTAGAGATACCATGTACGTAGATCGACATGTGCAAACATAAAATAAGATGTATGTGCATACACACATCTATATATGTCTTTATTTATTTATTTATATTTATTTTTATTTATTTAGTTATTTGGTTATTTACGGCATGAGAAGTCTATGGAGCAAATCGCCACCCAACCGCTCCAAGCCGAGGTACCGGGACTCAGCTCTGACATGGCTCCTCAAGGACTTGGCGTGTGCATGATCTATTGTTCAGACAGTCAGCCAGAGAATGACGATGCACACAAATATATACACACACACATGCCCGTACGTCTGGATAGAAAGCACGCATGACTGCTGATGACAGACACTTCGTCGGCATTGGTGTTCGAAGTTCGAATTCTTGCCCGCCGTCAGGACGCAATCACGGGAAGCAGTGCTCGGGTGTGCATGGTTGCCGCAGTGCATCCTTCACATCCTGTGGAGACAGCCGCTTGGCTGCTGTAGAAGCTCCAATCTGCGAAGCAGCTTGCGTATATGGATCTAGCAGAGGCCAGCACCTTGCGCTATGCCCGCCAGTATTCGGCGTTGCAAAACACCACGGGCAGCCACGCCTCGCAGCTGTCTTCGCAGGCCAATTGCAAACTAAAGAGGCTGAGGCGATATGTCCACTCATGTTGTCCTGAGCTCCCTCCCCGTGCCATCAAACAGCTGTGCATGCCTTTGTCTCTGCCAGCATGCACGCTTAGAGCATCTCAGGGTCGACTTGTCAACCAACCCATGTATGTTTGCAAGGTCCGCGACCTGCAGCGTCGCGTTGACTCGCTCCGGCATGCTTTTGAGAAGGCAGCATGCCGCCCATGAGTAAGACAACGCATGCCCTGAATGGGGGTCTTTCGTCAGGCTCTCGCCGGTGACGAGCACAGCATCGCGCTTCGTGGCAGCATGGGCAAAGTCCGAGCAGTACAGAGCTCCAAAGTACTGCAGTCTACGGACTCTCGCCTCTCTGTGTGCTTTCAGAGACATCCCGTGATGCTTGCCCGAGGTGGACGCGTGAGTCCCTGCAAGGCTCCGTGCATTGTCAGCCCAAGGCGAATGCACGGTTTGGGCCACAGCTTTCTCCCGTCATCGCGGATATCTACATACCTGTGGCATCTGGTGGAGTCTTGCTTCCGACTGAGGCAGTGGCTTGAATCGCATCCAACACTCTCATGGACGACGGCGCACCAGAGTAAGGCCCGAGCCTCCCGTGGCAAGAGATGCCCGGAGGACAGTGAGAGAATAGGAAGGAAGGGTTCCTGGACTGTTTTCCCGGAAAAGCTGACAGCTCATAGCTGCCGGAGTACTCGCGCTTTTGTTTGCACCGTCTTTAAAGGGAAACAGGCGAGATCTCCCATGGAGAGCCGAGGCCGCCGTCCGCGGGCAGCGCCGTGATCGCAGCGGCATAGGCCCTGAAGCGAAGGTTTGTTCAGGCTGTTGTAGGGTGTTTTTCAGGATACTCAGTGAAGCAATGGGGGCGAGGGTCGAGACTGGCGACTGGTACTTCTGAAAAAAAAAATTGTCGGGGCGTTGTCATTGGGATTTGTGTTCCTCTCGAGGCGTTTTGGGCCATGGGTTGCACTCGAAGCCTTGCTACGGGAACTCTTGCTCCCCTTTGCACATCTTCACGATACAGGGAAGCAAGGACCTCCGGACTTTGCACCGACCGTTGAATTCATAAAGGATCCATGTGCGGAAGGGAACGAAGCGAACGGCTGTTTAGCCCAGATGACAGCAGCTGCTTATCAGCCAAAATACTTGTAGGTTCACGGCTTTCTTCCAACTGCGCCTGCCTACATTTGTTTTCCTCACCGGGTAGCTTGCAAATGCTTGTGTGTTTCCCCACATTTCGAAGAAAGACAGCATTTGGATGCCTGACACAGCGACACCCATCGCGCCGCCACAGCCAGACTTCCAATCTTTGCCAGTATTTACCAGCTTGTGGGAGAGGACTAGCTGTCCAGCTGATACCTCTCGATAGCCAGAGGAAAGCAAAGTCAGAGAAGCCCATGTGCAAGATTTCCTTCCAGGTTACATCACGAAGATCGAGGAAGTCGTAGGGGGCGACGAGGCTCTCGCAAGAGTTTGCGAGGCAGGATCGAGCGGTAGCCGGGAAATATCAAGTCCTTTATGTGGATGTAGGTCCTCACACACAAATTTGGTTAGATCCAAAAATGCGAGTACTACCTGTTAGCCGTGCGCGCTCTCTCAATTTGCCAGCCTGAATTCGCCTGGTTTCGGGCGACCGTTGGCTCGCAGGTGACCTTTGAAGGTCGTCACGGGAGGCACCCGCGATGTTCGGTGTGTGCCAGACGCAAGAACAAGCGCAGTTCCGTTCCGTCCATTTCAGGCTTCCAGTGGTGCTATGGTACCCCGAAGTGGCGCTGGTGACCCGACTGAAGTGCCCGGTACAAGGGTAGCTCCTCCCTGCCAGTGTAGATGACGAGACGCAACGGCGTCACTCAGTTTCTGCTGCTCAGCCGTGGTTGTTGCTCAGCCAAAGGAGATGGTCAAGCCACCTTCGTCGCTGCTTGAGGCCTGCGTTCCCGGACGCTGGCCTGTCAGCTTGGCAGTCTGAACATCATTCAGGGTGTTCGATGTTTCTGTAATCTCAGCTTGTCTATCCTTGGTGCTGTGCAGGCCATGCAGAAGTTGGATACTGCAGAGGCCGAGCTCAACAGGCTCCGGGGAGAGTTGCAGGCCGGGGCAGACTTTCGTCTCAGCTCTCAGCCTGCTGACTTCGCGCTGTCCAGATCCGTCTTCCGAAGCGCCAGCTCTGAGCAGCAACTTCTGTCTTGGCACGGAGGCCGCTCGAAAAGATGAGGCCATGCGACAGCAGGCGCAGTTTGGGACATATTGGGACCCAAACTTGCACCCTCCTGGAGGGCTGAGTTTCGACAGCTTAGTCCCGCCGCAGGAATGGATGGCGACCGCACAAGGGAAACTTCCTCGGCCGCCGCCGATGCGCGACACGTGTGCCGCGGAGGAAAGGAAAAGGATCCTGCAAGGGTGGGCACCTCGAATCGGACCCAGCCATGTCAGTCGAGCATCGCAATCAGTTTACTGTAGCAAAGCATGGATTCGCCGACTCGCACAGTCTCTTCTTCTCGCTTGTGTAAGGCTCTCCGTTGCTGCACGCACGTGCAAGCACTGCCTGACATACGGAAACCCACAGCACGTTGCTGCATCATCAGCGAACAAGAGGTTTTGGATGGTTTGGACAGAGAGAGCGAGCCTGTCTGATAGCTGCCTGATCACGAAGGCTAGCTCTGCGGAGCTTGAGGCGAGCATGTTTTAGCTTTGGCGTTCGTTTTCTTGCTGGCCTGCGCAGTTTTATGTTGCTTCGACGATTCGACATCGAGCGAATGCAATGTGGCTGCAGATACGGGGCTGTGAAAGGGGAGTCTCGCAGGGACATCCAGGGTTTGTGCTGGTCCTTGCCTCAGATATGTTGTGCGTCAGGAGCAGGAAGCGTGCGAGATCCACTCTGCAGCTGAGCATGCTGCGGTGCCGCATACACTAGATGGCTCTTCACCGTCCCCTGTCTCGGGGCGGGGGTCTTCTTCCATGCCGCTCTCTTCTGCTTGCATTCCTCAAACACACTCGGATTCTTTGCCTCAGGCCAATTAGCTTGCCGATTCATCTCTTATCCATCTTCGGTGCCGGCGTTTGCTTGTCTTGGCCTTCGCCAGCGGTGGTCTTATTTGGCTTGATTTCGGACTGCTAGATGTGGCTACGGCGCACCGTCGGGTTCTCATCCGCGCGTCCGACCTCGGCCTGCTTTGCTGTAGGCAACGCAACCGCCTGTTTCAGCGCATCGCACTAAACTTCAGCGGACGTGTCTCAAGCTTCTATTGGGCGCGAGCTGCAGGGCTGCTGCTCCGTTTTCTAAAGCGCCTCGTTCGCGTCCGCCACCCTGGGTTGATATACGTCGATGACCTGCTGTCACTGCTTAACCGTCTGTCCTCCGTCATCGTTGTTCTTTTGCTATGCCTCAGGGTACCGATCAGCTGGCATAAGGCATCTCTGGCTCCGTGGTATGGTATGGGATCGCAGATGGATCACCGCGCGGTTGACCCTTCTGGCCAAACAGGTTCTTGCATCAAGACTGCTCCGTCCGGGATCTGGAGCACCTTACGGGCAAGCTGTTTTGGCTCTCCTGCCTGTTTCGTTGCTTCCGCCCGTCACCGGCCGCGCTTTATAGTGATCAGCATTCTTTGCTCCCGTGCTCACCACTGTGTCTCCGGACTTGTGACATCGTCTGTGCGACAACGTCGATGGTAATCTGGTGTTGTTCCGTTGTGTCGGTGTTGATGCGTTGCCGCCCAGCTCCAAGCTTCTTCGAGTTGGACAAACGCCACTGAGCACGAGTTCTGATGTGTCACGGGTGGTCGCCGAATCCCGTCGCATTTGGGTTCTGTCTCGAGTGATGTGTCGTCTTTTCCGATGCGCTCCGCGAAGTTCTGCGCCCGTGGCTGGACTTGGCCAGCTCCGGTACGGATATCCGGTCACTCATGCTTCCTCCGAAGTTTGAGTGTGCAGCATTTGCGGATGCTTGCGCTGATGCCAACTCCGTCGGTCTTGGGCCGTCTTCCGGATGCCCGGCAGATATATCTCCAAAATACTTTTCTCCAGAGAGCAAACTCTTGTTCTCTTCCGGTTGCAGTCTTTCATTCTTACATGGCCACCTGGGAGATTTCTGCTCAAGGAGCGTGGTTGCTCATCTTGCACTAACTCTTTGGTGAGGGGCACCTTCCGTGTCACACTGTGTTTCGCTCAGCGGCGTCTTGCTCGTGTCTACGATGTGGCACTGATTGGCTGCATCCCATTGCAGGTGGTTCCACACCGTCGGGGTGGCATTGGTTGGCCATCCCAGCCATCTTATCCACCTGCTCTTGTTGCCCTGACAGCCGGTTCAGTCTCTCTTTGAGTTCCGCACCAAAAGCGCGCATCTTATGGGTCGATCAAGCTCATCAGCTTTGATCTTGCGCCACGAGGCCGCGGTCGTGAACAGCGTAGGAGCGGTTAGGGCTGGTACATCCAATCGTAGATTGAGTACGAAGCTTGACTCCAGCCTGGACAAAACGCAGCCATGCCGAAATGTGTCCTGGCGACCCGCCACCCCACCTGGCCCTTTGGAGACCAGCCGGAAGACTGGAGCTCCCAGCAGCTCCGAGCCGACGAACATAGACCTTTCAGCGCCCTACCACCTCGCGGCATCATCCTCTTGGAGCAATGCCAAGCACTGGAGCAGCCGCCAGCGCGCAGAACAAGTCTCTCCCCGAATTCTCTCCGAAGCCGTTCTCGGCAATAGGAAGTCAGCAGGGCGTCAGTTCTTATGGGTCAAGGAAGCAGCAGAACCAGAGACAGATGAACGTCTTTGGAAGCCAACTTCATGATTGTTCGGGAATTCTTGTGAGCCGTTCGCATGGCGCCGTCAACAACGATCACTTTCTTCTCCATCTAGCAAAACCACTTTTTTGTCCCTCTTGCTCTCTCTTTCTTTGCGCAGATGTGCACATTCGGTTGTATCAAGGAAGCACGGGGAGCTAGCCGGAACAGCAATGACATGTGTGGTTGCAAAATGCTGCGAGATGGTGTCTGATGTGGGATAATCTACCACTCCGACGACGATGAAGACCACTACGACTTACTCTTGGCACTACTACGAACACGAAAGCCCCGCAAAACTAAGGCATATTCTTCGAAGAAGCCGAGTCCAGATGAACCCAATCTTGATTAACACTCTGACGGAGGGGTAGAAAGTGCAAGCCGCTTCTCGCGGACATGCACCAGTCGGTTCATCTGGGGACTGAACGATTCGAGCTTTAAACCTAGGCAGGTGAGGGCGGTGGTACAGTTATAAGGCTGGCCGGGTCGTGTAGTCTTCTGGAATCTGATTTGGTACATGAGAGTGCAAGCTGCTTGTGAAAAGATGCACAGGGTACTGAGTTTTGCATTCCGAAATCCCGAGACAACAGGGAGGGCAACACGCTCACCTGGGGCAAGATCCCACAGGATCCGAAGCCATAAGACGGGGGGACCTGGAACTGTGAATCAAAGGGGGCCATAGTTTCAAGAATCGATAGCCGCGGATCTTCATTGGGCATCGGGATGTGGCAGTTCGATCTCGGGGCATTCAGATTGATTGTTCCAACCATGAAAAGCATCCTGCTTTCTTGAAGCATGGGATTCAGGAAGATGATTCAAGTAGGTTAGACATATGTTGCCATGGTTCTCGGGTGCAGCTTTAAACACATGCAAGATCATGCAAGCAATGCCTGACTGCTGTACCTTGATCATGGTTCTGGCCAAGCTCATCCGAGGAGGAACCAAAACCAATCACCATTCAAAGCATCAACAAAAAGCCAGCTAGAGCCTGGCATTCGCAATGGTGCTCGCCTTGCCTGTGCGAGAGGGCGCGCCGCCCCCCGGCAGGCATCGTCGAACAGAGACAGTACAGCAGGGTCGTGCAGTCCAGAACGTCGCAGAGCTGGCCAGGCAGACGACAGGGGTGAGGTCATGGGAGCATGTCCCAATGTCAGCCAGGCAAAGCCGACACGGTACTGCAGACTGTACAGCTTGCTTGGAAAATGGCCTTCAGGTTGCAGCGAATGATGGTCAGCTGGATGACCAACTCTTTGATGGGCCTAATCCTGGCTGCAACCTTATTCTCGTGGTGCTCCACATGAGTCATTACTTCAGTGGCTACATCGAAGCAGCGAGACGGACATCGGCAATGGACATGCTCCTATATGCTCCTATCATGTCCGGGAATCTCAGGCCAGGGTCGGTGTGGCCACCATGAAAGCAGTTCCGCTGCTGTCGCTGCTGGTGGTCCTTCGCCGTAGTTGGCGTTTGAATCAGATCATGGTGCGGACACACAGGCTGGGGTCCAGGTTCGCATAAAGTGCGCGCATGAGTGGCCCGGCAAGGTCCAAATTCTGGATCTTGATCCGGTCCTCTCTGGAGCTCTGGGCTCTCTTCGAGCTGGCCTTCTGGATCTACTGCAGGCGGCCGAGAAGTGTTAGCTTAGGGCCAAAGAGCGCACGAGTCCCACGTGCCAGGTGGAAGAAGCGCAGCCTGGAGGCCAGGCGCGCCTATGCCCCGAACGTCCTCTGGAAGCCGCAAGGCGAGAGGCCGGGGAAGGGATCCAGCCACCCGCAACCGAGCTTTAAAGAGCTTCCCGCCGACCGTCACTTTTCCTGGGTGGGGCAGGATGCGTTTGTTGGAGAACTTCTTGTCCAACACGGCCTCGGCCCCAGAATGTGAAGAAAAGCAACACCTTACATATTATATCTCTCCTAATTATCGGCTAGGTTGGTCTGGAATTGGGGGATCAGTTTTG